GCACGTGTTCGGTTGTTATGGCTGCCGAAATGGGGAGCTGGTCCCTTCAGTAACATAACTCCTTCAACAAGGCCACACCTCCCACTCCTTCCTAAACAGTTCACCAACTAGGGACTAAGCATTCAAACATATAAGCCTATGGTAACCATAATCACTCAAACCACAGCTACCCTCTAACACTTGGCTACCTCTCATCTTCACATTCTCCAGCCTACCCATACCTCCATGACTCCACTTGGAATGTACCTCCCTTGCTGAATTCAGGGCCGGCTACTTCTTAGCCTTCAATGCCTGGCTCAGAGGCCTTGTCTGACTGATACTCAGCCAGGCACTCCCCTAAACCACCCTAGTCATTTTCTAGCCACTTCTCCCACTGACTTCTTATTAGAAATGTTCCTTTCTGACACTCCTGCATACTGATTTCATTTCTTATTCATTGTCCATCTGTCCACACTAGACTAAAAGCTGTGAGATGACAAGAATATCCTTACTTACACCATAGCCTGAACACCAAAGATGGGGCCAGTTCAAGACAATGACACAGAGATACCCCAGAAGAGATAAATGAGGGAAGGCAGATTCAGTCTTAAGTCAAGGCTATCTACACGCTAGCTCTGGAAAGCATCGTCAGTGCCAAGGGCCTGTCATGGGGCTCCAGGTCCACTACCAGGACCCCCTCTCCACACACAAACACCCTGAGCTTAGTGCTGAATGACACAGATGTCTCTAGGCACAAGATATCATCATGCATTTGATGATTGAGTCCTGTGATGAATAAAAACTTGTTCTTCTAAAACACCCACCCATTCACTGCTCTGGTTCTGGTCTCTGGGTTGGAGCTAGAATGCCCCAGTCTCTGATTGACCAATTAGTGTTTGTTAAGGGTCTCTTAGAATGCTAGGGGATAGAACTTACTTGAAGAGACCTGTCGGGAGCCGAGAACAATTCCATTAGCGAATTTCTCGGGGTCCAAACCTCCAGTTCCAGTATACAGGAGCTCTGGTCTGCATTGTATTGCAGATGCTAGCTGATTTGCTGTTCAATGGCATAGCCTTAGTGGAGAAAGTCCCCTAGTTTTGCATCTCTACAGAACTAGGCATTTGAATAGGCCTGCACCAGGGCGGAGGGCAAGGTCTAGAGGTCTAGTGAGGATAGATAGTTTGGAGGTATCTGCTTAGAGGGTCTAGGGAGAAGTTTGGGAGAATAGTATCAGCTGTCACCAAAGGACGGTTAGAAAGCAACCAGAAAAATGCTGGAATAAAGGGGAGACTCCAGTCTGCAGCATGAGACTGAGAGTTCTCCAAAGATGACAAGATGCTTGTGTCTGGTCCTTATCGCCATGGGGTTGCTAGGAATTTCCAAGTCCACACTCCCCCAGTCAGGCCAAACCTCACGGCTTCTGTGGTTTGGGACTGAGACATGCTGGGCCACAACAGAGATCTAGAGTGCACAATGGTGGAAATAAGCAAGACCAACCCAAACCAGAAATTTATCCAAACCTCTCTCACTACAAGGGAGGCAGACCTCGTTCGTGACTTGTGTTTGCCATCAACTCACCAACAGGATGGGAAATAGAAAACTTCAGATGGAAGAAAGGGCTCCCTCCAGTACCTCAGTTTATAAGCTCTCAGCTTGGGGGAGCTGGAGGAAGGCTCCACAGAAGTAGGTATCTTACATGGTTGGTTCAGGAAGCATACTTTACTTTCTCCAGATGGTTCTGGATTGGAAGTAGGGGCACAAAAACATGGGAAGCTAACAGTCATAGACCAAATCCCAGCCATTCTGGGCCAATTTTTGCAGAAGTTGTGATTTTACTATCATGATGCCTGGTCATTGTGTTTGTCTATTCACTCCTATGGTGAGCCGCATTTGGAGCCTGATGTGCCGATGGCGTTTCCAGGGTAACCAGCCTCATATTGACACACTCTCTCTGGAGGGGGTTGGCTGTGTTGTTGTGTTGTTGGTGTTTTGAGATATGATCTTGCTCGTAACCCAAGCTAGCTTTGAACTTCAGATCAACACCCCCCCATACCCTCAGCAAGTGCTATGATCACTGGTATGTACCACCGTTCCCAGTTTACAGGGAGAATTTTTAGAATACCTTGAGATAGGGTCTCTCAGAGTTCAAAGCCCTTAGGTATCTGTAGGAAGGGAACCAAGAGCACCCTTGTCCATGTCCTCGCTTCCTGCTATTTCCTGTCTGACTTTTCCTGGCTTCTGCCTTGTAGAAGCTGCAGGGAAGTGAGACTCAGGCCTCAGCCTCAGAAGACTCTGAAGACTGGCTTTCAACTCACAGTTTAAAGTTCAAGAAACTCACCTTGGCTGACTTGATAAGCCAGCGCATAGTTGATCTGTAAGTCTGAAATCCTTCCACTCTTCCTCCCAAGCTACCCATGGCTACAGTGGCACACTCAGCCCTGAGCCTGAAAAACCCCAAATAAAGCTTTTCTCTTTCAGGGAGGAGCATGACAATGCCATGCCCAAAGTGCGTTTCTCCACCCAGACCATCTGCCACTTTGAATCCAGGCTTTCTGAGTAAGTTTCCCAGTGTCCTCTAGCACCCCTGAGCCCAAGGCCGCTGAGACCTTGTAGCCTGCACATGACTGGGACCAATCAGCAATTTCAGTGCATTGGACTAGGTTGTCACCTCCCTGGTACCTTCAAATGAATTGAATACCTTAGCTGTCCCAGCTTCATCTGTTGGTTAACAGCTGAGAGTTCTCCCAGATGTGTGTTAAACAGGCGTGTACCGACTCCAAAATTAATTATTTTTATGTGTGTGGGTGTCTTGTCTACGTGTATGTTAGTGCACTCATATGTACCTGGTATCGACTAAGTCCAGAAGAGGGTTTTGAATGCTCTGGAACTGGAGCCACAGATGATGTGAGCTCTGCTATGTGGGTGCTGGGAATTGAACCTGGATCCTCTACAAGATCACCAAGTGCTTATAACTGATGAGCCATTTCCCCAGCCCCACTCAAACCAACCTTGATAGCACAAGTAGCATGCACACACGCATGCACGCACATACACACACACACATACACCTACCTTCCCATAATGAGTACACAGGATAGTCTTAAGATTCCATCCCATGCTGGGCAGTAGTGGTGCACGCTTTTAACCCCAGCACTCAGGAGACAGAGGCAGATGGATCTCTGTGAATTCAAGGACAGCCTGGTCTTCAGAGTGAGTTCCAGGATGACCAGGGCTGTCTAAAAGAAGAAGAAGAAGAAGAAGAAGAAGAAGAAGAAGAAGAAGAAGAAGAAGAAGAAGAAGAAGAAGAAGAAGAAGAAGAAGAAGAAGAAAAGAAAAGAAAAAAATTCCATCCCAGCTGTAGCTATCTGTGGTCTATAATTACTGCTGCCTAAGGTTTCCCAAAAGGTTATGATGATAATTAAAAGCTAGCATGTTAATGTGCCAGAAACTATGATAAGGGCTGTCTACAAGATCTTATTTCATCTTTATAACTGCCCAAAACATTAGTTACTCTCAAACTAATTACCAAAAGCCAAACCAGTTAACCAAAAGTCAGTTGCTCAACAATCATTTATACAGCAACTGATTAATGGGATTTATCAAAAAGCTTTAACTGCAAATTTTATAGAAAGTCTTTGGGAGCAGAATGTTTTAAAGGTTTTAAATAACTACATGGTGTTCAGTTAATTCATTCATTCATTTGTGGCAGGGTCTATGTAGCTCAGACTGGCCCTCAACTTGAGGTCCTCCTGCCTCAGCCTCCCAAGTTATTGGCCTATAGAACATGTCCCTGCACATATGAAGAGTTCTATAATATTTGGCTCTGTTGTTTTGAATTATAAATCCAATATTTCACTTTTATTTGTTCTTTGATAGTTTAATACATGTATGCAATTAAATATGATCATATCTAACCTTCATTTCCTCCCAGATCCTTCCCCAAACACCCCCTCCCAACTTCCTGTCACAGTTTTCATCAGCTCCTCCTTCTGTTCCTTTTGATATGTCACTAAGTCCAATTAGTTCTGCCTTTATGTCCACCCACTGGAGCATGGGTAATATACCAGTCACCATCCTGACAGAGAAAGGTACGTATCCAACACCCTTAAGGAGCAGTCAAATCTGCTTAACTCATCAGGCATTTGGCACACTGGTTTGGACACAGTCTGTGGTTGTCTTTACATAGAAGATGATGAAACTTCTGGAGCTCAGCAAGGATACTGCACCTTCCAAAGGTCACACAGTCTGTAAATGACAAAGCAAGTTCTCTAACACAAGCATGTCTCAGTATGAGGCTGTGTCTTTGCCATATATTCACAATAATGTCTCCATCATGACTCCAACCTGCTACTCTATATATGAATTTATATCCACCAACCTTCAGCCTTCCCATGCTCTTTTCTCCCAGTGAGGCAACTCAGCAAAATTCAAGTGACTAAGGCCTTCCCATGAGCACCTGTCACCTGCTAGTGTCCACCCCATCAAGGGAGTTTTGCTTTGCTATAGGCACAATGGTCAATACATTCTCTTGGCAACTTTTTAGAAACTGATGTTTTTATTAATCAATCCAAGAGATGGCTGCTACCCTGCCAATGCACAGCTTCGTGTTCAGTCCCCAAAAGACTTGGAACAGTTTCTTCTGTGAAGATTCATAGCTTTGAGACCAGAGAGAGGGCTCAGTGGCTAGGAGAAGCACTTGTTGCCCTTGCAGAGGACCTGAGTTTGATTCCCAGCAATCTCATGAATGCTCATAGCCATCCATCCATAACCTCAGTTCCAGGAGAGCTGATACTATCTTCCATTTCTGTCTTCCATGGGCACCAGACATACACATGGTGTGGATATATCCAGGGAAAACACCAAAAAATACAAAATAAATAAATTTTCAAAAGACTCAAATCTCAGTAAGAGCAGGCTTGCCCCCTCCCCACCTTCCTCTTGAGAACACTGCCCCCATCCTTTGGCCCTGGCAGTTCATCCCAAGTCATCGGTACCTTCTCTTACTCTATAGGAGAGCTGCAGCCAAGCCCAGATCCCCCTACAGCCTCCACCCCTGACCCCCAGCCTGATGCCCTGGGAAACACATACCTTTAGCTCTCTCTCAGCTATGTTTGTTTGCCTTACACTCTCCACAAGGCCTTAAAAATTAAAACCTCAGTCAACCAGGTAGTTCATGCCTCTAATTCCAGAGTGGGGAGGCTGAAGCGAAAAGTCAGAGTCTGAGGCCAGGGTGGTGAGATGGCTTCATGAGTAAAGGCTGCTGCACAGGCCTGGGGAGCTGAGCTGACTTTCTGGACTCCAGAAGGTGATGGTGGGAGCTGCTGACTCCTACTAACTTGAACCGGAACACACACACTCTCCCTCCTCCTCTTCCTCCTCTCCCTTCCTCCAGCATGCATACACACAAGCACACACAAAGTAATTAATGTCTAAATTTAAAAAAAAAAAAACAGTAAAAGAGAGAGTCTGAGACTAAGCTGGCCTATGGAGTGAGATTCTGCCTCAAAATGTAGAAAAGGCCAGGCATGGTGGCACACACCTTTATTCTAGCAATAGGAAGGCAGAGGCAGACAGAACTCTGTGAGTTTGAGGCCACCCTGATCTACATAGCAAATTCTAGGCCAGCCAGGGCTACACAATGAAACACTGTCTCAAAAATAAAATAAAAGAGAAGGTTTTTAATTAAAAATTTAGATAACTGCCAGGCGATGGTGGCACACACCTTTACTCCCAGTACTAGGGAGGCAGAGGCAGGCGGATCTCTTGAGTTCAAGGCCAGCCTGGTCTACAGAGCGAGTGTCAGGATAGGCTCCAAAGCTATACAGAGAAACCCTGTCTGGAAAAACCAAAACAAAAAAAAATTAGATAGCCAAAATGTGTAAAGTCCTAGCCACCTTCCCCTGTGTATAAGTGACACTTGGTGATGAACCTTGGCCTGTGTGTAAGTGACAGCTTGGTGATGATTCTCTCTGGTGTCTCCACAGCACTATCAAGCTCTATCAGCAGAGGATGCAGTGGCTCACAGAGAATAGCAAGAAGGTAATGGCAAACATGTGGCTCTTTCTGCTGTCCTCAACCTGGCTGCTTTGTTAGAGCCCTTTCCCTTAAAGATGATGGCATTCCAACTAAAGTTGCTTCCACTAAAACAGACATCCTAACCCACACACATGAAAGCCATAGACACACTGTGTTCTTGTTACTAAGCTCTTAAAGTCTCCAAGACCTTAAAATTAAAAACCCCAGTTTGGCATGACGGTACACACCTATAATCCTAACACTGGGGCCAGAAGAGGGCATCAGGTCCCCTGGAACTGGAGCTATTGACCATTGTTAGCCACCCTGTAGGCGCCAGAAATGAAACCCAGGTCCTCTGAAAGAGTAGCCAATGTTCTTAATAGTTGATCTATCTCTCCACCACCATCACCCCATTTACATTTTAAAAGCAAGAGATGGAGCTCCAAGTTTTAACTTATGGTTCCAGGAGGGCTGGCAATGCCATGGGGAGACTCAGCCTTCATTTGAATCATAAACATCATGAATATTTATAAATCAATATCAGGGTGAAATATGAATACAATGAATATTTATGAGATAAATACCAGGTACCATTCTAGAATGAAGGATATAAACACCAGACCTGGCCTTCCTGGAGCTCCTTCATGGAGGAGGACAGTGAAGAAAGAAGATCACAAGTCATACTCAAGGCCAGCTGGCAACAGTTCCATACATAAAAACAAAGCAAGTGGGAGGTTATGAATGTGTTGGAAAGAGGATTCTTTGCATAGGATGGTCAGGGAAATTACCCTGAGGAAGGGACACTGGAACAGACCAGTGATCCAGAAAGTAGAGAATGTACCAGGCAGAAAAATCAGCAAGCACAAAGAACCCAAACCTCTGGCATGTTCCCGAAGCAAGGAGCAGAGCAGTGTGTCAAAATAGAAGAAGTGACGTGGAGACCGGAGATGAGGCTGGTCAGGAAGACACATTTCAAAGGGCCAGCCTGGCTTCTGTCTGGGTGCACAGTTGAGTACACAGAAACACAGGACGAGCTAGGTGAGAACCATGGTGACTTAGAGTTAGGTGCTGCCACACACTGGATGAAATAGATAAGGAAATAGTGGAGCAGGCAGGATTTGTGGGTGCCTTGGCCAATGCTGAAAGCAATTCACTGAACTGTGAAAGGCTAAGGGAGGAACAAGTTTGGGGGGAAACCAGGAGGCCTTGTCTGGGACCTAAGAAGTAAGAGATTTTCACCAAACATCCAAATAAAGTGGAAGAGCAGTGGTCATTGGCACATGGCTGAAGGCCCAAGAGAGATCTTGGTGCTAGCCCTGGGTACCTACAGGCATTCAGATGAGAAACATGAGACTCATGAGTTTAGGAGTTGGGGATTTAGCTTAGTGGTAGACTGCTTGTCTAGCAAGCACAAGGCAGTCTTCGCTATTTGAAAATGGAATGGGTATGGAACATGGTTTTCAACTGATGTATGTTTAATGGTGGCTTTGCCTCACAGGCCATTTGACAAGACCTGAAGGTATTTTTGGTTGTCACAGCTAGTGATGTGGAGGTTGTTTAGAAACATCCAGGGCACTATTAAACACTCTGTTCAGGTCAACTTCCCACAACAGAGAACCATCCAGCCTCAAACATCTACCACGCCAAAAGCCCTGATGTAGATCAGGTTGAGAGTGGATGGTGCATTGCTGTGACTAAAGCCTTTCTCCTCATAGTCCATCATGAAAGGGAGTCAGGGCAGGGACCTGGAGGCAGGAGCTGATGCAGAGCCATGGAGGGTGCTGCTTTCTGGATTGCTCCTCATGGTTTGCCCTGACTGGTACAGCCCAGGAGTGGTACTGCCCATAGTGAGCTGGGTTCTTCCACATCCATCACTTATTTTAAAAACTGCCCTACAGGCTTTCCTACAGCCAGATCTTATGGAGACATTTTCTCAGTTGAGGTTACCTCATCTCGGAAGACTCTAGCTGTGTCAAGTTGACATAAAAAACAGCCAGCACACCAACTTAAAAACCAGTGTTTAGGGCTGGAGAGATGGCTCCATGGTTAAGAGCACTGGCTGCTCTTTCAGAGGACCTGAGTTCAATTCCCAGCAACCACTTGGTGGCTCACAGCCATCTACAATGGGGTTTAATGCCTTCTTCTGGCATACAGGTGTACATGCAGATAGAGTGCTCATATATAAAATAAATGAATAAATTTTTTTAAAAAAATCAATGTTAGTTTCTAGCACCGTGACAAAAATACTTGGGGAAAATAAAGGAGGCACGATTGGCTTTGGTTTACGGGTTCAGAGGTCTTAGTCCATTGTTAACTTTAAGTCCATTGCTTAAGCTATGATGAAGCAGAACACCATGGAAGGGAACATATGACAGATCACAGATTACCTCAAGGCAGCTGAGGGGAAGGAGCAAAGGAGGAGGAAGAGGAAAAAGAAGAGAAAGGAGAGAGGAAGGGGTATGGGACAAAATATAAACCCCAAGGATATGTTCTAGTGACCATGTTCCTTTAAGTAGGGCTCCACCTTCAAAACTTTCCTCCAATAATAACCCCAATATTAACCCCATAATAACCCCAAGTTAAGGATCTGTCTTAGATTAGGGCAGAGAGCTCATGGTCATTGGATCTGTCACCTGGGAACCAAGCCTGAACACAACGAGCCTTTGGGGAAACACTTTGTAGGCAGCCTCCAGGGCAGGACACAGTGTCTGCCTTTTGAGGAAGGGTAAAGATAGTCTCACTCTGTATCCCAGGCTACCCTTGAGCTCACAACAACTTTCCTGCCTCAGCCTCTCAAATACTGAAATTATGACAGGTGAGATTCTGCATCTCTCCTGAGCAGGAAGATGGTGATGCTTAGGTGATACTCATGTAGCAGGTTCCCAGAATACCACAGAGAAGAGGGTCTGTCTAACAAGGGACTAAATGGCATATGCTGGCAGATTGTATCATCGCTAGACTGTGCCATTGGCTACTCAGAGTGGAAGGGAGTTGTGAATGTAGATTTGATCTTGAGTTCAGTAAGATGGAGGTCACTAATCTGCTTCACAAGTGTGGCTTCATAAGAAGGAGCTGAGAACTGAACTTGAGTCACAGAGACGTGGAAGATAAGGATGTATATCTCAAATTGGAAGTAGAGTCTAGCCTGCTCCTATGGTGATGGAGATTATATAGACATACACAGGAGTGTTGAACTAGGAGAAGGGCCAGTGGCAGGACCAAAGTCCCTATTTGACCAAAGAAAATCCAATAACTGAGTCACAGGGTTGGCTTAAAGCATGGGGCAGTAGTGCTAGGTGCACTATTCCGCAAACAGGTAGCATGTTGGTAGATTCTTCAGGGGAAGATTTTGTTTTTATTGTATGGCCATTGTCCAAAATGATGAGTTTCATTATGACACTTTCCTTCATATGTCTACCATTCAGCTTTGCTGAGACTCATACCCAGGGCCCTCACCCTCCTGCCCCTCCCACTGGCTCTCTTCTTCGGGAGCGTGTGTATGGTATGTATGCATGTGCATGTGTGTGTATGGATGCACACACCCAAGCTAACATGCGAGGACTCCAGTGGTTCATGTCAGGAATCTTTCATTAAACCTGCAGTTCACCATTTAGGATACACTGACTATCCAGTGAGTCCCCAGGATCCTCCTGTCTCTGACCTCCCAGCCTCTGGGGTTACAAGACTTGTGCCTTATTGCTCAGCTTTTATGTGGGTGCTGGGGTTACAGACAAAGGTAGGTCCTCATGCCTGTACAGTAAGCACCCCAAACCCAGGAAAGTGTTTTTCCACAGTTTTTTATGTGCATTAGTATTTTTCCATGGGTTTCAGGTCCCTGGAACTGGAATTACAGACAATTGTGAGCTGCCCTGTGAGTTCTGGGAGAGCAGTCAGTGCTCTTAATCACTGAACCATCTCTCCAGTCCCCCAGTTTTTTGTTTTTGTTTTGTTATTTTGGCAATTTTTTTCCAAGATGGTTTCTCTGTGTATTTTTTTAAGTTCTCTACAATTGGTTTCCATTTTATGAGTAAAATTGGAGGAAAAATCACTTGCTGAGGAAGGGCAGGAAAGGAATGTTGGAGGAATGACAGAAAATGTCGTGCCTTCATCTTTGACAGAAGAGTGAACTAATGGGGAATAAGGCCTCTACTAAGTCCTTCTGCCCTGAAGGATTATGAGTTCGTGTGAGTAAGAGCTCTAGTTCCCACGGATGCTCTCACTGTGGCGTAAACACACATGTGGAATCTTAACAGCATTGACATGGGGGGAGTAGCCACTGTTAGAAGCATAACTAGAAGCTCATAGAAGTACTATAGCTGCTGTTGAGCTTCAAGAATCTGTCTTTGACTGAGAAGACAACGCGTAAATAGGGACAGAAAGGAATTAGGTAAAATAACCTGATAGCATTAGACATCAGGCATCATCACATCCACCAAAGCATGCTTTCCCGTAAGTTTTCTGTAACAATGCATGTTATTGTATGAGCCTGGTGTAACTGTGTGTTATTGTATGAGGATGATGTAAAAATGCTTGTTATTGTATGAGGCTGGTCAGTAGCTTCAGGAAGAGGCTCTTGGAAAGAGTAGGCTGCCACCACCCAAGAGCAGACAGCACCTGGAACCCAAGTCCAGAAGGACCTCAGGTCTTGTTTTACCTCTTTCTCTTGCAGTGAGAGGGATGTTCACACTTCTGCTTCAGAAGTGCAGGGCTGGGCTGTTTACACATTTCCTATTTGGTTTTAGGCATTTGGCATCATCAAGGGAGCAAGAGTGGGACTCCTCATAGATGTGTCCCAGGTCAGCAGTGGCCCTCAGAAAGAATTCCAAAATGACCTCACAGTAAGTCTCCTGCATGGGGTATACCTCCCCAGCCTCCACTTCTACACCCTCCCCTGCCTGCTGTACAAACTCATTTTGTTGATAGCAAATGCAAAACAGGGCCATTCACAAAGAACAGTTCTCACTCAATTAGCACCTCCAGGGGAAGAAATGTGTGGAGTTGGGTAAAACCTCACCACAGACTCATTTTCACTTACAGTGTGAACTTCTAGTATTCTCCCCACTGTAGAACCTCCCAGCTAGATACCCCATCCCTGCAAAAGCTCAGGTTCCCTCAAGACAGGATGTGGACTGGAGTCTTTTCCTTCCTCAGTCATCTGTTTGAGGATAATTGCAGGATGGTACAGCACAGCACTGGGCTCCTGGCCTTTTCCAGATGGTAAAGCTACTCTGGTTTCTTTAGACTTTCCAAAACAGAAAGGTGGAGTCAAATCCCAGCTACCTCCACACCTGCCAGGCTATGGGAGCTGGCTACCCCTTTGTAACGCAAGTGAGGAGGACAATATGGACGTCTCCATGGAAATGTTTATAGTTTGAGATAGGCACCAATCACAGTAGCAACAGCTTATATTTTATGAAGACTGAGCAGAGCCTTGAGAGGCTCCATGTGGGACAGCCATCCTCATTCGGCACAGTGCAACTCCTCACCCATGAGGACAGCCTATAGTGGAGGGTGTAGCCGTGTAGCCAGGTTCCGTAGAACCCTGGCTGGGTGAGTCACTTGTGTCCCTCTTATCCACAGAGTCTCATTGATGACCAGCTGAGCCTCAAGGAAAAGATGTATGTCCTGTCCTTTGGTGTCACTGCCCAACCCCTCTGGCCAGATCCTGTGGAAGTCAATACCTCCACGTGAGTGGCTGCCAGGTCTCCACCAGATGTTCACTTGTTCTGGTTCAATGGAATGTTTACATTTGTGTTTGTTTGAATTAGGATCTAGTGTGGCCCAGGCTGGCATCAAGCTTGCTATGCAGCTAAGTATGGCCTTGAACTTCTGATCTTCCTGCTTCCACCTCCTGAGTGCTGGGGTCGTAAGTGTGCACCTGGTTTATGAGATGCTGGGGATGGAAATCATGGCTTTATACATGCTGGGCAAACACTACCCATTGAGCTCTGTCCCTAACACTTCACTGAATGATTAAGATGCAAACTCCAAAACCACAACAGATAAGGAAGCATACAGCAATGAATACAACAGCAGAAATATAGGCAAGAGTTGGAAAGATTTTACCTCCACAAGCTCTTACCAAAAAGACGATAAGACCACTACAAGACAGCTTGCTGGCTTTTTAAACAGTTTATTACTTTTATTTTGATTATCTGGAGATGGATGCAGGATCTTGAGCATGCTGGCCAAGTGTTTCACTCCTGAGCTACATCCCCAGCCCCAAACACCACTTTTATGCAACAAACTAGAAATGATAGTTTTATTATCATGAAAATAATACATGCATGCTTTAAATAACCCAAACAATCTGCATGGATAAATAACAGTGAATGAATCTCTTTTCTACTGCCATTTCTACTCTTAACACCCAATGATACCTTTTATATCTGTCTCCACAGACGGGCTGCACACATGCATCCATGTCCCATCTGGTTTAGGCAGAAGCAAGACAGCTGGTCCTGGTGGGGCATGCCTGTGTGCCCAGCTAATCAAGATGCTAAGGCAAAAGAATCACAAGTTTAAAGTCAGCCTGAGCTAGAGTTGCCAGCCTGGCAACTTAGTTAGACCCCTGCCTCAAAATAAAAATTGAGAGTAAAAGGAGGTCAAAGGACATAGGGCTTTGTGTTAGAGCATTGGCCTAGGCTCTATTCCTAATACAACAACAAGCAAACAGCACAAACCACAACAAGCACACAGCATAAGCAGAAGCTCATAACCCTGGTCTGTTCTGTGGCTTTTCACCCAGTTTTGCTCTTATTTCCTATCACTGTATATAGACTCACCTCACTGGTAGTTGCTACATACTATTCCATTGCATAGATGCCCTCTAGTTGGACAGGCTAGTGGGGGATTTGGAGGGATTTGGAAAGGAGATACACAAGAATGTCTGTCTTTGCCAGGAAGTAGAAATTTGTTGTCCATGATGACAATGTCTTTCATTGACCCTATGATGCTAACCTCTGTCTCCCAAAAGAGCTATATAGGGTGTCAAGACTCAGTTCCAGGGGCTCAAGTAGCAGAGCTGCCAAGAACTGGGGTTCCAGAGTCAGGATTTTTTTGAGATCCAGGTCTGACCAAGGTTTGTTGTACCACATCAGGCACGTTTTAACTCCAAACCCAAGTTTCCTCATCTGTAAAATGTAAATAAAGGTGTCCACCTCAAGAATTATGAGCCAAGATTTGTCTGGGCCTGGCAACTGGTAAGAGTCCCGAAGAGTCACCTGCAAAAAGGGTGTTTTGGTCAACAACAGATCTAATGTGGTCCCCTAAAATTACAATGGAGCTGGGTGTGGTGGTGCATACTTTTATCCCAGTACTCAGGAGACAGAGGCAGGTGGATCTCTGTGGATTTGAGGCCAGTCGGTCTACTTAGAAAGTTCTAGGCCAAAAAGGGATGGATAGATGGATGATAGATAGATAGATAGATAGATAGATAGATAGATGTCTACAATAAAAATAAAAACCAAAGATAACAGAGCTAAACATCACCTATCTTGTCAGAGCTGCTGTGCTTCCTGCCAGCCAACCCTGATACAATATGTAATACGTGCCAGGGTCTCATGTATGATAGGCAAAACCTCTCCTAACAGCTACATCCTTAGCTCCTAGCCCCTGCTTTTGGTTAATGTTTCAGAGAGTACCCTTTCTATTTGTAACAAAGGTTTACTCTAAAATAGTATGTAGCAGGCTTTCTCGGGCCTCCAGCCCCCAAATCATGACACAGAGACTTACTAATGTTTGGCCTTAGCGTAGACTTGTTTCTAGCTAGCTTTTTAAACTTAAATTAACCCATTTCTATTCATCTACGTGCTGCCCTGAGGCTCTTTTCCCTCATCTACATGCTGTCCATCCTGCTTTCCTGCATTTAGTGTCTGGCTGGCCCCCTTTTCTCTCTGCCCACCAGCCCCGCCTATCCCTCCTCTCCTAGCTAATGGATTTTCAGCTTTTTATTAGACCCATCAGGTGCCTTAGGAAGCCAAGGTAAAAAGAAGCACATCTTTACATAGCTAAACAAATGCAGCATAAACAAAAGCAACACATCCTAACATTGTTAAAGATGCTAGTCCACAACAGGACCCATTGGCACTCTCATCTTCTACTCACTTCATCTTGATTGTCTTATTTTCCCTGGTGCTTGCTTCAATCTCCTGTCATCCAGTGAGTCACAACACTAGAAGGAATAGGCTGTACCATCTACATACCCCATACAGCTCAGGTATGTGGTAGGTTATGCCATCTAGGTTTGTATAAGTACATTCAGTGATGTCACACAATGCCAAAATCACCCAGAGACATTTTTAGAATGTGTCCTGGGCTATTATCCAAGCATGAAGCCTCAAAGGCTAGTGCCAAAACCAAGGCAATCTTGATGAAAGGAAAAACATTGGCCCAGGATTCCCAAGACCTAGTTCTTAACACAAAGGAGATTTATTTGCCCCAGCGGTACAGAGGGTAGGGATAAGGGACAAAGACAGGAGATAGAGGAAGTGGTGAAGGGGAAGGGAACAAGAGAGAGGAGAGAAAGGGCGCAAGGGAAGAGTGAATGGATATTTCCCTCAGATGGACAAATGACTGCCTTTGAATAGAGAGGAAACTGATGTGGCCCATAAAAAAATGGCGAGTTATAAAGGTAAAATGGGAAAACCCCTGTTAGGATGAGGTGTTTAGATTTAATTGGGCATGTTAATTAGGTAAGCCAAAGGGGACTTTTGATTGCTGGACTTCAATACTTTGATAGCTGGACCCTGGTAGTTAGCCTTAGGAGTAAGTGGCCAAATACAAGAATGGACCTTGGGGGCTAGCTTCAGGACTGTAATCTAACATTTTTCATACTGGCAGAGGGAATTGGGGAGAAGGGCAAGGCCTGCCAGAGCCATGTGCTCGAGTGGCATGGTGTCCCTTCACTTGGAGAACCAGGTCATTAAGCTGCACATGACTATAGTTAGGTTGCTGTCTGCTTCCAGCCTCCAGGAACTCAAGCTCTGGGTACAGAAACTGCAGCCTGAGGGAAGCAGCAATCTGCTACAAGCCTTGAAGAGAGCCTTGGCTCAAAAAGAGCTGAACTCCGTGGTGGCTGTACTAAGAAACTGGTAGGCCCTCTTGCTTACTAAGCAGATAACATATGAAGGAGGTTGGTGACCCAAGCAGTGTCTGAGAAAAAGCATCACCAAGCATGAGGCTTCACACACACTCGAGAAAATAATTCTGTTCATAAGCTACCCATGTATACGTGGGGCTGGGCAGCCAGGGCTGGCTAGGGCTGCTGTTCACCCTGTTTCTTACCCAGGTGACCTAGGACACAGGTGATGAGTTAAGAATGAGTAGTGGGGGTGGGAAGGTGGCTCAGTAAAGTGCTCCTGAGCATGAGGACCTAAGTTCAGATCCTCAGCACCCATGTAAAAAAGCACTGTAAGCCTGTAATGTTAGTGCTGGGGAGGCAGCTACAGGAGCAACTGGTGCTTCCTGACCAGCCAGACTAGCCAATTGGTGAGTTCCAGGTTCAGTGAGAGACCCTAGCTCAAAAATAACAGTGATGTAGAGAGTGATGATGGAAGACACATATGGACTTCTGGCCTCCACATGCACACATGCGTGCATGTACAATCACATACAGGAACACACGTACATATAAATATACACACAATGAGATGTTTCCTGGGAATTACCATTTTTACCTGGGATATCAAAGCATAGTTTCAGTAGGAGTACCCATGCCTCCTCTTCCATCTGCTCCCCAGTCCAGATCAGCCTTCTGAATTCCTGTCTGACTACATCCAGCAATCCACCGTAGGACGGGACCTGTTCATTCATGTCATCACCTACAAATGTGATGATCACGTACCCTCTGTGAGTATCTGAACTTTTCCAAAGCTTCCCTTGTACACTCGGCAATAGGGAACTAGTCTGGACTTGGAGACAGTGCCTGAGCAGGGCCCCCAAGCACATACCTCTCTTGCACCTGCTTGTCCCATTGACAAACAGGAAGTGTGGAGGGTCTGAAAGCTCAGACAAGGAAGGGTCTGTTAGAATATCGGTGTGGCTTTGCCAGAGCTGACTCTGTCACTATCCCCCAGGTTGTTCTGAAGAACCTCACAGATGCCCTTGGGGGTTACTACCATTGCTACAGCCCAGAATCAGAGGTAAGCCTTCTGAAGACCAGCTGTATCTACCACCTGTCCCAGGACTGTGCCCGGGGAATCTGGCCAGGACATACTATGCCATATGCTTGCTTTCCCCTCCTCATCATGCTTGCTTTCCATGCTCAGTGACTCTGAACAGGTAAGGTCACATGACAGTGAAAATGTGGGAAGCACGGGGACAAGCTAAAGTCATAAGCTGCTGGTAACTTGTCAGATGAGCTAGTCACACACTTACACATGACAGTGAAAATGTGGGAAGCACGGGGACAAGCTAAAGTCATAAGTTGCTGGTAACTTGTTGGATGAGCTAGTCACACACTTGTGAATCTTGAGACATTTCTAAGCCTGTTCAGCAGAATCCTCCATTACTTTCTACAAATATGAACACAGCCCTAGCTTGTTTCAACTCCCACAGAGCCTCCAGGCTGAAACAGTGGCTCCAAATTTCTTTCCTAAATAAGCAACTACTATTGGGAGAGACTCACAGAAGGGCAGAAGGGGTGCTCACTCCTTTCAATCCATTCACTGATATCCTTGTCCCAGTTAACAGCTAAGCACCATCAAAGGAGGTAACAGTTAACACACTGTTCAATCTGGGCAGCTGCATCTGGCTGATTGAAGATTCTGCCTGGAATGTGTCAGCACACCTTTCAATCCATTCACTGATATCCTTGTCCCAGTTAACAGCTAAGCACCGTCAAAGGAGGTAACAGTTAACACACTGTTCAATCTGGGGAGCTGCATCTGGCTGATTGAAGATTCTGCCTGGAATGTGTCAGCACGGTGGTGGTGGGGGGACTTCATACTGGCTATACTGTTGTAGTTGAATGGAATTAGGAAGATCTCAAGTTCTAGGCCAGCTACACAGTGAGACCCTGTCTCAAAACAAAACAAAAGGAATGTAACCATCAGTCAACAGCCATGCCTGCCAGCAGCCACCCGGGGCACCAAGTAAAGGAATGTTTGCCCCTCACAAATTGTCTCCCAGATCTCCTAGCCTTGCTTAAGTGTCACAAAGTCTAGCTTCTCATGTTGAGTAATGAAAGTCAGGCAACAGCCCAGTTTGCTAGTTCACTGTCCCAACTCTGATTATAGATGCCACAGACTATAGGGACAAGAAAAAGGAAATGAATGAAAACAGCAGATTGAAGAAAAAGCTATGGGCATGCCTTTAATCCCAGCACTCACTCAGAGGCAGAGGCGGGAGTATCTCTGTGAGTTCAAGGCCAGCCTGCTCTAGTACAGGCAGGACTAAATAGAGATCTGAGAGGTGTGTGTGGGCGGGGGCAGGGCAGGGGGGGTAAGATCTTAAAATCGGTGGGCGGGGGCAGGGCAGGGGGGGTAAGATTTAAAAATCTGGCTCCTACAATACCAACAAGAAAATCAGGAGTTCCTTGGCTATATTGAGAGCTTCAGGCCAGCCTGAGCTACATGAGACCTGGACTCAAAGGAACATGAAGAAAGAGAAAGACCATTGAGATAGCTCATTACTGCTTTTACAAGGTACTTGCCAACAAGCCTGATGACCTGAATTCTATCTCCCAGGACCTACATAGTAGAAGGAAAGAACTAAGTCCCACACTGACCTCCACACATTAGCTATGGTATCCTCTTATATCTGTGCTCGCGCGCGCGCGCGCACACACACACACACACAGAGCGAGAGAGAGAGAGAGAGCGAGAGAGAGAGAGAGAGCGAGAGAGAGAGAGAGAGCGAGAGAGAGAGAGAGAGAGAGAGAGAGAGGAGAGAGAGGAGAGAGAGAGAATAGATGTAATTAAAACAAAAACAGGAAGCCAGCACCCATGAGCATTCCCTAGTCACTCTATCCTACCCCACTCTCTGGCAGTCCTCAACTGCTTTCCATCTCTGCGGACTTACCTGCTGAGAGCATTTCACCTAAATGGAAGCATATACCTTCTGTATCCAACTTCTCTCGCTTAGCATGGCATGTTGTAGCCACTGTGATACTTCACTTTTATGGATAGGTGGCATTCCGTTGTCTAGATGGAGTGACATTTTGTTTATCCCTTCATCTGTTGGTGGATGTTGGATTTTTGGCGTTTTGGCTGCTGTGAACGGTGCTGCTGTGAAAGCAGTACAGGACACAAGGGATCTTGTGCGGGGTTAAAGTAAAACTGCTGGGTCCCATGATAATTCCAGGTTTGATTTTAGTTGTTGATGATGTGCTTTTTGTTTTTGTTCATTTGTCTTTGTTGTTGTTGTTTTGTGTTGTGTTTTTATTGGTTGTTTTTTGTTATGTTTGTTTTTTAAGACAAGATCTGAAACTAAAGACATGGCTCAGTGGTTAAGAGCACTGACTGCTTTTCCAGAGGACCTGGGTACGATTCCCAGCACCCAAAGGTGGCTCATCACTGTCAGTATCTTCAGCTCCAGAGGATCTGATGCCCTGTTCTGACCACCAACAGCACCAGGCACACATGTGATGCACAGATATACATGCAGGCAAAACACCTATACACATAAAATAAAACAAAATTTTGAAAGACACAGTCTCACACTGTAGCCCAGACTAACCTCAAACTCATAGCCATCTTCTGGTTTCTGACTTCTGACTGCTACAATTGCAGGGATATACCACTAGACCCAGCTCTTTGTAGTTTTTTGAAAGACAGTCTTGCTATGTAAAGCAGGTCTTGAACTTATCAGTCTCCTTGCCTCTGCCTTCCAAGTGCTGAAATCACAGGTGTTCACTGACACACTTGGAATCTATGTTTAATGGATTTTTTTTTTTGAGAAACTACAAGAGCTATACCATCCCACATTCTCACCAGCACTACACAAATGTTCTGGTTCTCTACTTTCCTACCAGTATTCGTTGTTTTAAAATTAGCATTAGTGTGTGGGTGGCATACATGTTGGGGGGCCTCATATGCCAAGACATGTATGTGAAGGTCAGAAGACAGCACTGTGAAGTTCTTTCCTTTTGCCTTTATGTGAGTTCCAGGGATCGAACCTAGGCTTACACAGCAAGCACCTTTCCCCACTGAACCATCTTGCTATGGCAATTTTTAAAATTTCTATTAACATCATCATTGCCATCCTACAGGATGTAAAATGTTTCTTTTTTTTTTTGAGACAGGATCTTTCTATGTAGTCCTGGCTGTCCTGGAACTTGCTATGTAGACCAGGCTAGCCTCAAACTCACAGAGGTACTCCTACTGCTTCCTTACAAGTGCTGGGATTAAAGGTGTGCACCACACCTGCCTTAAAATGTTCCTTTGTAGCTGGGCGTTGGTGGCACATACCTTTAATCCCAGTACTGGGAGGCAGAGGCAGGCAGATCTCTGAGAGTTCGAGGCCAACCTGGTCCATAGAGCGAGTGTCAGAATAGGCTCCAAAGCTACACAGAGAAACCCTGTCTCAAAAAAAAAAAATGTTCCTTTGTAAAGTTAGAAAACCTTCCAGCTGTTCAGAATTCTGAAAGTTATTACTGTACACATGGGACAAAATATACCTGTGGGACCTCTCTAGTATATAGACCTCAGTTTATTACCTCAGTTTCAAAGAGACAACCACACAGCCTTGGGAATTGACTTACATTTTCTTATATTGACAACTACTGTCATCCAGTGACTTCTGGATAGCTCATTGCTTCAATCACTCCCAGTTCTATACCAATAGGGATGTGGATGAGCTCCTAGCAGAAACCCAGAAGGCTCAAGACCTCCTCAGACAGGTGCAAGCCCTGTGTTACAGTAGCCCATGTGAGGAGCTGGCCTGCATGATCAAGAAAGTAGGTGGCACTCCATTGTTGATGTCTGGGATTGCCTTTCTGTTGCTGACACATTAGCTATTTGAATTAATCTCTCAGGGCCTCGGTTTTTTGTTTTGTTTTGTTTTGTTTCACTTTAAAACTGTGCATAACAGAAGGTGGGGCCAGGTCAAGGCTTCCTCAGTGTCTTGGTGCACTGGTCACTTGAGTTTCCAGAAGCCTTGTGATCTCAGCCCATGGACAGATGACTTGTCATCTTGGATCTTGGGCGAAGGGGAGAGGTGGACAATGTAAGAGGAGCAGGTTGCTAGGAACCTTTTCTTGTCCCCTGAAAATTCAGAAACTTCTCAGAGAGTTGCCTTCAACCCACTTGCTAGTGGTTTTAAAAGCTCCACATTCGGGAGGGGGGAATGGGGGAGAACTTCCCAGCTCTGAAATGTGATTGTGTAACAAGAGTTTTTAAATTGCACGTAGATCGCTACAGAGATTGGCAAAGGGCCATTCACAAGTCTCTTGCCTAAACCCCCGAAACATGAATCTCCTCTCACAATCAAGTTCCCAGACTTGGACAAGACTTCTGCAGAATGGCTGAAGGTCAATGGTCTAAAAGGTATTGAAACCCCAGCGAGGACAGGACCCAGGTGGCTGACCAGGCTTGGAAACTTTGAGACCTCCCAGGCAGGGCCTCAAAGCTAATGTGTTTTTCAGCCAAGAAGTTAAGCCTTTATCAGATTCTGGCACCCAACGCCTTCAATACTGTGGAAGAATTTGTGCCTATTCTCCAGAAAAGAGTGTCAGCTGTTATCCATGAGGTAATTCCAGGTCAAGCTTCTCTCCAGTCCTCTGCAGGGGTGCTCCCTTACACTACTTCCCATCTTATATTACATTCAGACAGTGGAAGCTTAGGGCATAGGCAGACAAGCATGGGTGTGAGGGCCTGGCTGGTATTCAGGTTTTCCATCCAGGACTCCAGAGTGCTTATAAAATCTAGGATAATGATGCTGGGGATGCAGTTTATGGATGGAGTATATTCAACATGCATAGGGCACTGAGTTCAGTACTCAGCACCAAAGTATAAACAAACAAACAAACAAAAATAATCTACCATAACTGCTGGTTTTCAAAAATTTGAAAATGGGGGCTAGGATGATAGTCCAGTCTATAGAATGTTTGCCTTGCAAGCATGGAAGAGCTGAGTTTGATCTTCAGCCCCATGTAAAAATGCTGGACAAACTAGTATACATATATTACTTTGTAGTACTGGAGAGGTGGAGATAGGAGGTTCCCTGGGGCTCACTGGCAAACCAATCTGTCCTACTTGGTGAGCTCCAGGTTCAGTGAGAGACTCTGTCTCAAAGGAGGTGAGTGGGGTTCCTGCAGAAGGTACCAGAGATTGTCTTTGATACCAAGATCATCTCCTCCATGAACGTTATCCTCCACCACACTCAAATAGGGACACACTTGATTTCTTGTTGCCCTCACTGCTTTGTATGCATTTGTACGATGGCTGCTATAACACATTCCTGCATGTAAAGCCCTATATAGTATGAACCATTTAAAAGACTCTTCTCTAACTCTGTCTCCCCAGGTCTAGCACAAGTAAACAGTCAATGAATGTTCCCTGGGTTGCTGAATCATAGGCAAATGGAAGGAAAGTGGGAAAGAAGAAGGAAAATGATGTGTATTTGGATGAATGGAAATATTAGTGAATGTTCATAGAAAAGTGGTAGCTAGATGGATGAAGAGATAAAAGGCTGAATGGATGGATGGATAAATGGGTAGATGAATTGGCAAATGGAAATACTGATGAATACGTGGAAATGTAAATGGGTGGATAGATGAATGGATAGCAGGATGAACAGGTAAATGGGCAGATGGTGGGTGGGTGGGTGGTGGATGGATGGAAATGCTGATGAGTGAGTAGGAAAGTAACTAGGTGGATGGATGGAAATTGGAACGGATGGAAGGGGAAATGGGAAGATGGATTAACAGGAATAAAGGAAATACAAAAGAATGAAAGAAAAATTCATGAAAGGATGGAAATATGGCCAAGTAGAAGAATAAGCCAAGAGATAAACTAGAAGGATGATTGGAAGATGGAATACTGAAAAGAAAAGGGGGATGTGGGAGGTGAACCATACTGGCAATGCAAAGATGACTGACCTAAATGAACGAAGCACCAGATAAAAGTGATGACACTTGACAGGGTAACAAATAGGAGTTGAATATCTATAAGGCCTGTCTGGATTCCCAGACATAAGTAACCATACCCAGTATAGAGTATCTATAAGGCCTGTCTGGATTCCCAGACATAAGTAACCATACCCAGTATGGAGTTTTGTTTGTTTTTGTTTTCTGAGACAGGGTCTTACTGTGTAGCCTGGCTAGCCTGGAACTTGCTTTGTCTGCTTGCCTCTGCCTCCTGAGTGCTGGAATTAAAGACCTGTGTCAGCACACCTAGCCACCAGTAGGTTTTAGTATCTCTGATTCTTCCTTGTATTACCAAAACACTCTAACCATGCCTTAATGGCTTTGATGTTCAGGGGATCCTCCAAGAAGACACCTAACTTGCTGTCAGGCATGGCTCATTCAGGGGACCCCTCTCCTGAAGGCTTCAGACAAGGCCAAGTGGTGGTATGTGTGGGGGGTAGGTAGGGAAATCTGCTCCAGATGTGCTTAGAACCTGTTTCTCTCATGCATATGAGCTGGAGAGCCCAGTGCCCAATTTAAATGTAGTATTTCCCATTCGTGCCTCTGTTTAACCTATTCTCCATTCTACCCATTTCTGAGTATAGAAAGCAATGGTACAATTCGAATGGCATGATGGGACAATGAAGAATATCCATGTGGACCCACCCTCCCTCTATGAATACCAGGTCAGTAATAGGTCCAATCCATTAGAATATGGGTTGCAGGAAGGTGCTATGGGCTATATAGACAATGAACCATTGACCAAATTTCCTGTGTGTTTCTGTGGGCACCTCCCAATACAGGGACATAGATGCCACACACAAAAGTCTCTGGTCCTTTGGGGTGATACCCGTCTTCCCACATTTGAAGGAAATACTTAAGTTCTCCCTTTCACAGTTTGTGATAGTCTAGCATAATGGACTTGCATCTGACCTAGCAAAATGTTTAAACTGCCTGTTTGTACCATTTCCAGAAGCTATCTGGAGTGCCTCCCCTCCTCATAGCTCCAGGCTTTAATCGCCACCCTTGGCACACTCACTCATGGTAGCCCATGTTTTTACAGAAGCAGCTTGGGAAAGCTGTGCAAATGTATGAGAGTCGGCTCCGGTGGCTCTCCCTCGACAGTAGAAGAATCTGGGGCACTGTCTGTGAAAGGAGGTACTGATCCCACAAAGTGCACTCTTGTTCCTTGTAGGGTCTGGTGTGTGACCCAGTGTTTGTCCAACTCATCTCTCCCCATGGGCAGCTTCAGAGGTGTCAACACACACACACACACATATCTCCAGATCCTTTCAATTAGAAGCAACAGAGAGATTGGTATGATGGTACACAACAGTGATCCCATCTCCTGGAAGGATGAGGAGAGGGGATTACAGATTTGATGCTAGCCTGGATTACATGATTAAGACACACACACACACACACACACACACACAGAGAGAGAGAGAGAGAGAGAGAGAGAGAGAGAGAGAGAGAGAGAGAGGAGAGAGGAGAGAAAGGAGAGAGACAGATAATTGAAGCTCAAAGTAAGCATGAAACCCAGCAATCTGATGAAGGTAACTGAGAATTCTAGCCCAGGCTTGTCAGCAGTGTGGCTACATCCAGAGGGTTCATCTTGTTGAGAATCCCCCAGCTCTGCTTTCCTCTCTGAGAGTTTTGTTTTCAGATAGGGTTTTCCCTGCAGGTGATAATATATAGCCATGGAACCACTTACTGCCAGCTTTGCATTTCCAGAGCTTGAGCACACGTGGGCCATCAGACTGGCCAGGGAGACGTGATATTCTGAATTCCCAGGGTCAAATGCCCACTCCTGAAGCATGTTGTGTGCCATCTCCATCCAACTCACATGAACTGAGAGAGAGAGTGCTGTTCCCAAGGAGAAATGATTTTGCGAATTGGGCAGCATGTTGGGGGTGGTTATCCCAATACACCTCATCTGATGCATTATAATTGACTATAAGGAATTTTTTAAAAAATACTTTTAGTGACACACCAAAGGAAAGGGAGGTCCTCTGACTTGAAATCACCACATACAGTCCTCAGTGCTTAAACCACCTTCAGTACATTCTACTCCAGATGAAATATACAAGGCCCCACAATACCCCAGATTACTATAATAAGCCTACTTCTGTTGGTCTCAAACCACAGAGATTCTTGGCCATCTATGAGTTTGGCATGCAAAATTCCCCCTGGAAAAACCTTTAAATAGTAAAATGGAATGGAACAAACATTATCTGAGAGATTCAGGTTGCCTCTTGAAGCTTGTGTTTCTCTTTAGGGTTGTTATACTGCTGGATGTCTCAGTGACCAGTTCCATGTACATTATTCATATACAGCACTCCCTGCGACTGCTGCTAGAGGAGCAGCTGTCCAACAAAGACCACTTCAATATCGTTGCGTAAGTCCCCAGAGTTCCCCATGGGGGTCCGGGGGAGAGGCTGTGTGTGGATGCCACCACCATACTGTGGCTTCAGGCAGACAGCAGGACCACAGACAGTGGTGTTATAAGGGCCCAGCATCCTAGTATGCCCATCAGTTTATCTGATTTGGGTGATCTTATTTGGGGTATTAAATAATTGAATGGCTGCAGGACTATCCCACTGGGGCAAAGGTGGTAAGTGGCCCCAAAACACATGACTTGATAGTCCAGAGTGATGTAAATCAGCCCATTGCCCCATTTGGCTTTCAAGCTAGTAAACACAGCAGAAAAAAGGAGGATCCAGCCATACCCTGGTCTTAATCTTAGCCTGGTTCTAGAAAGCATTGCAAATACCTGGTACTCCAATTTTAAATTAAATTTTAATCTATAAATAAATAGTAAATAAAATTTAAAGCTATATATAGCTTAAGCTACAGTTATAAAGCAATTTTGAGGCCAGCCTGAGCTGCATAGTAAATATCAGACCAGCCATGGATGCATAGCAAGACCCGTTTTAAAAATAGAAAACTTATGTTTTTTAATTGCATACAATTTTAACTAGAGAAGGCCTAAAAGGAGCCCACCGGGTATGTTCTCTGTCTGTTAAGTCGGTAGATAGTACTAAATAACAGCCAGGGCCTAATCGTTCCTTAATAAATTCAAATGAAAATGTTTAGGGCAACATTTTCCTTTTTATTAGCACACAAAAATTATGCCAAAATAATGGGCTATATTATGACATTGTCATGTATGCATGTAATATACGTCTACATACTCATCTCTATTGCCATCTCTTATCCCTCCTTCCCCCTCTCTCTTGCTCCTTTCCTTGGAGAGTCATTTTATGCAGTATTTTCATGTTTATCTGCCTATCAAGTCAACAAGGTTTCATTGAGAACCTGCTGTGCACAAAGCAGTATACTGGCACTGGGATCCAGAAATGAATGTACACGGTGCCTGTCCTCAAGGAGCTTATGCCGAGTAGGGAAGACCCATTAAGGAATAAGTGCTGTTGAGTGTTTCCTGATGAATAGGCAGAAGGTGCCATGGACCGTGAAGGACGGAAGGCAGGCTCAGCCCATTCTGGCTGGGCCCAGGAAGGTTAAGAAGACTTCATGGAGGAAGTACCTCTCTAGCTGGGTCTTGATGGATAGATAGGGTTTGCCCTGCTCATAGGGATGGTGTGCACTAAGGAAGGGGCACCCCAGGTAGAGGGAGCAGTATGAGCTGAGGTGAGAAATGGTGAGGCACGATGGAACTGTAGGGACTGTGGAGTCGTTCCATGAGGATATACAGACAAGACGCTTTGCGGATGATGGAGAATTAATACAGGTCCGTGCTCGGGGGTTTTGAGTGGCGTGATATAACATGATCAGATTTTCATCCTCAAATGTTGAAGCAGCGATGTGAAGGATGAACTGAGAAGGCATAACACCAGAGGGAAGAAGACCAATGTGCTTCTGCTGTAGTGCTCATGCCACACTCAAGCTAATAGAGTGAGAAAGGGAGGGGGGGAGGGAGAAAGAACACTGGAGAGCTGCAAGCTGCAGAGGGAGGAGTGGGCTGGCTGTAGAGAATGTAGGAAGGACTGGGAGATGGTAGCCCAGGTACAGCAGAGGTGGTTTTAGCCAGGCATAGTGACACACCAGCAATCCCAGCACTCAGGAGGCAAAGGCAGGAGAGCCAGTTGAGGGGTGGGGATAGTTTGAGTGTCCTAAGAATTTGGAGATCTCTAAAAGTGTCCCAGCAGGGCTTCCGGGAAGGAGTTCTAGCAGAGAAGCATGGGTGTGGGAGCCACTGGTGCCCATTTACAAGGTTGGAACAGTGTTTGCCCCTGTAGAGAGGAGGAAAGGAGGAAAGACAGAGAGCGCTGAGCAAGCACCGGGAGTGACCAATGAAGACAGGAAGGGAAGCCAGAGCGTAGGAAGAAAACAACAGAGAAGGGTTCTGGGAAGGCAAAGGGAAGATGTGGCGGAACACTTGCCTAGCATGCTAAGCACTTACCTGCACTGCAGGGAAAAAATGTCCTCAGTAACTAAAGGAGCAGAAGCAGGCAGGTTATGTTATGAATCACACATGTTGAATAGCTCCATTTCTGTAAATATATTTATTTATGCATTTTAATGAAAAAAATAGAACAAAGAGTTAGAATTTTAGGAGAGGTGATGAAACTAAAATGTTTTGCTTCTTTGTATATTTCTGATTACTAACCCAAGGGCCATAGAAGGTTTGTGACTGCTAGACACACCCCACTGCAAGTGACAAGAAGAAGGCAGGAGCACCCTCTGAGACAGAAGCATGAGAGCGATGGGTCGAAGTGGGAGCCATGGTGGAGAAGCTTTTCCAGGGAGCTTGTCCATCATGTCAAAGGGAAGAGAGTTACTGGAAGACAGAGTAGCTTCCCAGAGTTTCAGAGAGGAGGGCTCACAGCTGTCTAGGGTGACGGGAAAGGGGCATGGAGTGTGTCTACTAAGGAGGAGTTATATGGGATTCCCTCCAGAGACTGGCACAGAGGAGGCCTAGGTTCAGCAAGAGAGATCCATCTTGACACAGAGAAAGGTACATTGCCATCCATAAAGGGATAAATTCTCCTCTTAGGAATCTTAAACTCTGGCTTAGAAAGAAAATAAGACCATGCATATTTATAGAAAAAAACCACAGCTCAGCCTGAGAGAGGAAGTATGCTATGAGGGGAGCCTGGGCTCCCTGTGGGGACAAAGAAGTTCCTGCAGAGAAGAGAGACTTCAGAGTATAGGAGGGCAGCAGCCAGAGCTACCCCCTGCGCCCCCCCCCAACACACACATACTCCATCCCTGCTGGAGAATCATGGCGCTGTCCCACAGGGAGTTTGCTTCAATGTGTTATGATGAACAAGAAAATTTTGTGACTATCCCAGGCTGGCAACATTCCAATATTTTGGGGGTTATTGTCAGAGTTTTGTCTCCTTAAAGACCTGTAAAGCCAAAGAACTAGGGCACAGAATGGACATATGTCCTAAAAACAAGCCCCCTTTGCTTCCTCAAAGGTTTGGAAGCACAGTTGAGAGCTGGAGGCCTGAGATAGTTCCCATGAGCCACGACAACTTACAAAGTGCCTGGCGGTAGGTGGCCTAGCCTTTCTGTTGCTATGTCTTAGCTGCCCTGTAGCATTGTCTTCCCCATGCCCCTCTCTACCTGCGTGTAGCTCTCTGAAGCTCTGCCCTCCCACAGCTAAGGGCAGACTTTAGAAAACTCTTCTCACTGTCCTTGGGACCTCAAGGCCTTATGTCCCTACCTCCCCAGGTGGGTCCTGGGCCTACGGTGTCAAGGAAGCAGAAATGTCCTCAGTGCCCTGCGGAAGGTCATAGAAGTGGACTTCAAGGACAAAGACAAACATGAGTCTCAGGGTATCTACCTCTTCACAGGGGGTGTTCCTGACCAAGATGTGGTGAGTAGCTTCCATCCTATTGGTTTTCTTTTTGTTGTTGAGATAGGGTCTGGCCTGGAACTTGCTTATGTAGACCAGGCTGGCTTCAAATTTACAGAAGTCCACCTGCCTCTGCCTCCCAAGTGCTGGGATTAAAGGCATGAATCACCATGTTCATTTTTCTATTGCCTTTTTTTTTTTTAACTTTCTGCAGTTTTGAGTATAGACTTCAGGCCCTTGCTTTTGCTAGGCAAGCATTCTACCACTGAACCAAACTACTCAACCCAGTACAAATATCTAAACTACCTCTTCTCACACTTTAACACAGACAAGAACCTAGGGATACAGTCACAACACAGGTTGGGGAGTGAGAGTCTTCATTACTGACAAGCTCCCAGCATGTCCATGCTGCTATGTGGTCCATTACAGGCCACAATTGGCATAATCAGGCTCTCAGGCCACAATCCCTGCTATACCCAGTTAAAACGGGAGAAGAAATTGTGCCTCAGGCTTATGTCTTTCTGTCTTTGCACAAGCACTGGACCAAGCACATGGTAGGCTTGGTAGGAAAGGTGACTGGGGACTAGAAAGATGGCTCAGTAGTTAAGAGCATCTACTACTTTTGTCAAAGACCCAAATTTTTTTCCCAGCACCCATGTCAGATGGCTCACAATTGTCTGCAACTCCAGAGGATCTAATACCCTCTTCTGTCCTTTGTGGAAACCTGTACTCACATGCATATACCCCACCCACACCCCAACACAACCCCAACACACAATCAGAAATGTTCTTTTAGAGGAAGATGGCCAGCTGAACTCTTTGGAGAGCAGCAGCTCCCAGCCCCTCATGTGTGGACTTCCTGTCTCTCTTCCCCTCAGTCCATGCTCAGTGCCTATGTGGCAGAGGCCTGTGGAGGTTGCGACCTCCATCTGAATGTCTGTCTCTTCTATGTGGGCGAACCACAACTGGATACCACGCCCCCTGTCCACTATGCCAGCCGTACTGACACAGCTGCGGCCTACAAAGAGCTCACCCAGGCTGCCCGAGGTCGCCTCCACTGGTTTGGGGAAACAGGTAATGTGGGTGTTTCCTGTTCCTTTGCTTCTTTCTTTCCAGACAGTCTCAGCACTGGTTCCCTTTGATATTGAAATAATCCCAAGAAATAATATGTTTATTAAGTTAAGAGGTCTGGAGAGAGGGCTCAGCTGTTAAAAGCATTAATTGCTCTTCAATAGGACCTAGGTTTGAGTCCCAGCACCCACATGGCAATTCACAACCATCTATAACTCCAGTTCCAGGGGATCCAATACCTTCTCCTGGCCTTCCAGGGCATCTGTCACTAATATGGCAAAATATCCACACATATAAAATAATAGAACAATTCTAAAAAATAAAATTAGGAGGACAGAGACATGGCTCAATGGGTAAAGGGGCTTGCCGTCAAGCCTGAGTTCAATCCCTGGATCACACATGGTGGAAGAAGAGAATCAAATCCCACAAGTGGTTCTCTGACCTTAACACACATGTTACAGCATGCACATGTATGTGTGTGTGTTTATACACATAAATAATATAAATTAAAATTAGAGGCTAGGGATACAGCTTGGTGGTCAAGGGCACACTAAGCATTTATAGGCCCTGGGTTCTACCCCCAGTCCTCAAAAGGCAAAAAATAAAAATGTTAAACTAACATTCTGGAAATGGCCAGTGATAGTGGGTATACAATAACATGAATGTACTTAGTGCCACTGAACTATGTAGTTAAAGTATGAGCAGATGGTGCAGCTCAGTGGTGGAGTTAATCCTTTATATACACAGGTTTAATACCCAGTCCCCCCAAATGTAAAATGGTGGTTTATGTTGGGTAAATTTTACTGTAATTTTTTGAAAGGTGAAGCCTTAAAGTACCTGTAGAAATCAACATTGAAGGTGACCTCAGTGGTAGAGTGCTTGCCTAGCACTGTGATGGATGACCCACATTGATATTTGTTGTGTGTGTGTGTGTGTGTGTGTGTGTGTGTGTGTGTGTGTGTCATAACATATCAGATCTAGAATACATTGTAAAGATCCCTTAGAAGTGTAGGTCCCAAAGTGTGGTATATCCACAAATAACCCATAAAATATCTGTAGATGGTACATGGAGCAAGGCTATTCCCACTCTCTCTGTGTCTCTGTACTTGTATGTGGGTATGTAATAGTTATCATAACTACATGCTTGTTTTAACATTTTAGAAAAATGCTGACTTAACTTTGTTGGCTGTAACCAATTTTCATTTTTAAAATAGCCTTGAAAACACAAGCAGTAAGTGAAATTAAAAATATATGAATAAGTGATGGCTTAGATGGTATGCATGTGCAAAACTCATTACAATAATGTGGGAGGGATTGAACCTAGGACACACTAATTCCTTCTAAGTTCTGTGACTCACAAATTAAGTCCCTTTGAGGCAGGACATGCCTAGGGGTGGACCTGTGGAGCAGTTTTCAGATCTTTCTTACTATGAACTTGCTGGATGTGTTCATTGACATTCCCAGGATGATCACTAATAATAGCAAACATTGAACAGTTATGAGATGCCAGACACAGCTTAAGCATCTTACATACACTATATAACTTGATTTTCACAATAACCCCATGAAGTAGGTGGCTATCTGCCCTACTTCAGATAGTTGCATAGTAGTTGAGACCCAGCCTCAGGCAGGTCAGCGTTAATGCCCAGTGTACTTGCCAAATATTGGAGTCCCACTTAAGAGCGTCATTGATATGTTCACTGCAGATATTAGTCACTGTAAATAATTACCATATAGGTAATTTCCATTCTATAGAGTAGCAAAAACCTTTGCACCTAACTTGCCCTTCCTGTGAGTGCCAGTTCACTGTGTCCCATGGCCAGTTACCCTCTTGATGACAACATATCACTGGATGATACAGGGTTGGGGTTAGTCAGCTCAGTCCACTGTGGTCCCATCTTGCCCTTTGGGCTTGTCACTTTCACCTGGCCTTCATGCATGCAGATGTTGACACTTATCCAGATCCACACCCTCCCCTAATGCTTCATTAATGTGCTTTGTTTCCAGGTATTTATGAGAGTGATGACATCAATGCCATCATATCTGAGATAGAAAAAGCCCTCAACTACTCCCAAAAGGTATGCCTTGGTCTCTGGTTTAATACATGTTCAGTCCTGGGTTTCACTGCCATGGCTGCTGCAACAAAATGCTACAAGCAGGGTAGTTTGGATCAAAAAGACATTTATGCTTCTGTGCTTCCAAAGGCTAGAAGTCTGAAATCAAGGTAGCAGCAGGGTCATGTTCCTTCTGTAGGCTATGGGTAGAACCCTTTATTATTGCATCCCTTTAGTTTTGACAAAAAAACAAGTGTGTTGGATGCTTATTATAAATGGCATGGAAGGCTTGCAATAGAGGAGACAGTTCAAATGCAAAACCCCAAACACAGCAGAAATAGCTGGGGATTTATAGCCAGTGAGCAGTCAATGGATGGAAAACCACTAAGAGGGAATTGATTAGGCTTCAAGGGTGAGAAAGTTCTTGTTAAAGCTAGCCCAAGGATCTAGAACTCAAGCAGGAGGCAATATGGATATCAAGGGGAAAGTGGTCTTGCTGAACTTACTGAGTGAATTCTTTGCTTAAACTGGGCTGAGATGGCCAAAGTGGAGGCCTAGTCAAGAAGATTTGGTCCATGACACTTCGGCATTCCTCAGCTGTATGAGCATAACTCCAACTTATGTTTCCATCTGCACATAGCTGTCTGCCCTCTAAATTGAAAGACCTGTCCTATTACATCCATGACATCATCCTGACTTACATTTTAATTTCAGCTACAAGAGGCATTATTTTTAAGGTCACATTTGCAGTTACCAGTTGCAAATGTCTCTTAGGAGACACAAATCAGCTCAGCTTCCCTCTCCATGTCTAGATCTACTAACAGCCAAGGCTTCAGATGGAACATGGGATTTCCTGACTATTATTGGAGTTTGATCTATATGCTGAAGTGTGTGTGTGTGTGTGTGTGTGTGTGTGTGTGTGTGTGTGTGTGTGTGTGTGTGGTTTTTCAAGGCAGGGTTTCTCTATGTAGAGGTCTTTGCTGGAACTTGCTTTCTAGACCAGAGATCCTCCTGCCTCTGGCCCCTAAGTGCTGGGATTAAATGTGTGCACCACCACCTCCAGGCCCTAATCTCAGACTTTGCACCTGCTGGATTCTCTGCCTGCTATCCTTTCCTAGATCATCCAAGGCCAGCACTTTGTTATTCAAAACTCATTTTAAAAACTACTTCCCCAAAGGAGATTCAAACATTACAGGTGAAATTAGAAAAATGGGAAGCTGGAGAGACGCCTCAGCAGTTAAGAGCACTGACTGCTCTTCCAGAGGTCCTGAGTTCAGTTCCCAGCAACCCCGTGGTGACTCACAACCATCTGTAATGAGATCTGGTGCCCTCTTCTGGCATGCAGGGATATACGCAGGCAGAACACTGAATACATAATAAATAAATCTTTGGGAAAAAATTTTAAAAAAAAGAAATAGAAAGATGGGAAGGGACCAGATCATGCAGGGAGTAATGAGAATCAGAATAAGGAAGCAGACAAGAGAATAAAGACGAAATAACCAAATTTACAGTTGATGGAACATACAGGATGAGAGATAAGAAGAAAACTAAATTCCCAAGGTCTTCTCTGGGGAAACTAGCAGACAGTAGTGTCATTGACCAACTGAAAAAGAGAACATAGGAACTGTCTATGGCGTGTGTGTGTGTGTGTGTGTGTGTGTGTGTGTGTGTGTGTGTGTGTGTGTTTAGCAGAGTGTCAGACTAAGAGAAAGGTGGGCTTGCCTATGAGATAGCAAATGAGGATGGCTGGGAGGCAGATGGAAAAAGATAAAGGTTAGAGATAGAGATTGGAGCAGTTCAAGCCTGGGATGGATGGGGAGTTTGAAGGGCCCATAGTCAAGCCAAGGGAAGAATCCATTCAAATGTTAGTTCCTGCTAGCCATAGAATGACTCATTCCAGACAGGACTATAGCCGCACAAGACAGCAGAGCCACAGTGCATGGTTGGTTTTTTTTTTTTCCTCCATGGCTGCTGGGTCAGTTGTCTGATGGCTCCCCAGATGTGCCTTAGCTCTCTTCCTGAAAAGGCTCATCTAGGGTCTGTAAATCCCTGGTTCTTAAATGCAAACCATCCTACTCTCACCCCTGACAAACTTCCAATGTATTAATGGACAGCAATACCCTATGCCCGTCTTCTTTGGATGTTTGCTCATGTTCAAAAAGTCTGTGGTGCTCTGAGTGTGAAATAGCTTTTGGGAAGATAAGAAACTTCTCGACAAAAAAGAATAATTACTGCACTGCAATTCTGCTAGTGTCTGTGATGTCCTGGGATATGATGAGATAACTGTGTGGCTGCTCAAGGGTTTTACATGATGGCTTGCCCATGTCAGCCCCTGGACTGACTTAAAGTTCCTCCACTAATGAGTAGTGTGGCCTTGGACAAGAACCTTGTGCTCACAGATTCTTGGTTTCCTATTCTGTAAAGCAGTATCTTGGCTTCTTCATCAATGTAATGAATATTTGAGAAAAAAACAATTAAGGGAGGGAAGAATTATTTTAGCTCCTGGTTTCAGAGATTTCAGCCTACAGCTGGTTCCTTGGCTATTGACCTGAGCACCATGGCTGGTGGGGACATAAGTGAGGCTGAGCATTAAAGGGGACATAGGTGAGGCTGAGCATTAAAGGAGACATAGATGATGCTGAGCATTATGGAACCAAGCAGCTGATTTTGTTGGCAGATGGGAAGTGGAGAAGGCAAGACAGAGAGAGATCCAGTTCCCACGGATCTGCCTCCAGATGACCTCTTCCAGAAAGGCACCTCTTATGGTTTCTAGAGCCTCTCAAAGTAGTACAAAGGACCAAGCACTCAATACATGAGCCAGCGGGAGGCATTTCATATTCAAACCATAAGAGCTGGCTATAAAGTGGTATTGTTAGCATGAGGGCTTGAGATCCCAAACATTAATTTGCCCAGTGTCCAATACAGTAAGGGGTCCTTATTCTTCATAATATTAATTCACAGCCCCAAACTACATTCTCTTGGGAGAAAGAAATATCAAGAGAATTCTGTCCTGCTGTGCATGTGTGTCCATCTACCCACAGTGGCCAGTGTGCTGCTAACTATCCAACCCCTATTGCAGTGTGCCTTCCTCGTGGCTTCCCTGAAGAACCATTCAGGAAAAGAACTGCAAAGCACAGCCCTCCAGAAAGACAAGCCAAAGATGCTCAAGCAAAGTTCGCCCAAGAATCTCTCTCCTCCCAAGCCCACAGCCCCCTCGGTGGCCAGAATGGTTTGACTCCCTTCCCTAATAACACACAGAGGATTTGTTTCCAGTTTGTCTCCTCGTCTTTCCTAGATCTTAAAGGGACTGGGCCAGGCCCCAGGGCTAGCACTGGTGGGGCCAGAGACTTGGGGAGGGATGTCCCCTGGGGACCACCGGGAAAAGGACCAGACTCTTAGCTTAGAGGGGACATCTGTGGCTTCCCTACTCCCCTCTACTTCTACTCAGCCTAGTTCTAGGATCTCCATGGAACTACACCCTCCTCGTCTACATTAGCTTGACCTGAAGGATTTGTGGGGCAAGGAGTAAGGTGGCTAGTAGGATTTTGTTGCTGCAAACCAAGCTTAGTGGGGAGATGATCAACTCTCAGACTTAACCTAAGCCTGCTGGGGATTGTCTTCATTTAGGCCATCAAACATATCCTGCATAAAATACTTACTGCTCACCTAAGTGGTCAGAGAGCCTTCTAGAGGGAAGATCCTTCACTGCACAGTGCTGTGAGGGCTGTTCAGCAGGTCACTGAATAGTGAACACACACATTTCAGAATGAGGAAGTCTATCCCAGGAATGTATAGCTTATCCACAGGGCTGCATTTCCAAGGCCTTCCAGGATTTCACTCATAGAAACCCAACATCCCAGACTCATTTCCACTCCCTCTTAATTTCTCCCAACTCTAGGGGAACCCCAGAATCTCAGGGCCATCCTTTGGGACCTTCAGTGATTCATGAGCTAACTGGATATGAGGAAGGCCAGGCTGCACCATGGCTTCTATTGGGCCCTCCTGACAGGCTGGGCACTCAGGGAGTGATGGCATCTAGGCCCTTTTCACCACAGTTCACAAAAGGGTCCCTTTGCTGGCCTGGTGCCTCAGCTGACATTATTAAGCCATTACTACATTCTATTTATGCCCAGTAAGGAAAGAATTCCTCTAAAACTGAGGGGCCCAAGTGGACATAGAAATGTCAGGCAGACTGGCACATACCTTTAATCCCAACACTTGGGAGGTTGAGGCAGGCAGATCTCTATGAGTTCAAGGCCAGACTGGTCAATAGAGCAAGCTCCATGGTAGCAAAAGCTACATAGTGAGACTCTGTCTCAAAACAACAACAAAATTAGAGCGTAGAAGTTACCTAAATGGATATTTGCCATGCTGGAGACCCGGGAAACCTAGTCTAGTAGAAAGAGTCAGGAAACTAGTAAAGAACATTCTGGCAAACACTCACTGCTCCTCTAGTGCTCTTTCATACTGCAGGCATGAATGCACACAGTCACACACCTTTTCACTCCCAAACCCAGACCCTCCCCCCCACCATGAAATCTGCTGCAGAACATAGGCTACACATGCCCGAGGTACTAACTCCCTCAGGTCCTTCCCTGGAAATGTTCTTGATTGGCAGGTTGAGGTCAGGGTGACTGGAACAGGTCTCTGATGGGAAAGATGGCCTGTTTTCTAGAACATTCAAGATGACCTGGATGGAGAAAAGAGCTCCCAACTGAAAGCTCTGAAGTGTCATCCCCTCCATGGCGAAGCAAGCATCTCATCAGGTAAGGCATGGTGGTGGAGAGGGGGTGGGGTGTCAGCTCAGGTACCACTAAGGCATGAATTAATCATGAAAGTGACTAAAAGATGGTGACGCTTGACTGGCTGCTTCTCATAAAGCCTGTAGCCATCAGGCCTCAGCAGTCAGCTCCCTAGTTGCTGATTTTACTAACAGGGTTCAGGCCAAAAGGGATTCATCAAGAGAAGCCCTAGCTATTTTTAGGAAAGTACTCACTTTGTAAACCTGAGATATGTATCTTCATTTTGAAGAAAAAGATTTATAGCAATGTGGTTCAGGGTAGCAAGCCCAAGAACCTCCACTCTGTGTTCTTATTAGCCCATATGTAACCTAGGGGGCCTCGAGGAAATAGCACAGGCACACTAAGCACTTAACACTGTGTCCTGGGAACCTGGGGAACTGGTGATGCTACATAGCTATTAATGGGTACAGACAAGGGCCAGGAACCTGAAATGGGAGTGAGGAGCCTGAGCATCCCGTGTCCAGGGTAGATCTTAGCAAAAATTGAGATAGCCAAGCAGCATGGCTCTATCAGTGGGACCTACAGAGTAGCCCAACCAACTACTCAAATGTCTTCTAGCTGCAGCCCATCCCTGGAAAGAAGGGTTGGTGGAACAGAGGAAGAAGGCCAAGCCCAGAGCAGAAGATACATCATTCTCTCTGTTCTACACAGACTCAGGGAATAGTGTGGGTAAGATAAAGCCAATATATTCATCCAAACAGCTCCTGGCCCTGAGCAATGTGGTGAGAATAGTAGCCCCATCCAGCTCCCTCAGGACTCAGCCTCTGGGACAGGCCTGTTCTTAAACAACTCAGTTGTCCCAGCCAAAGAAATGGGCATGTGCAAGTGGGCTGTCTCACTGTTTTTGGATGCACTGGTGCCTTCTGAGAGAGGCATTTCCCTGAGTCCTAAGGACAGTTAGGAGAGGAATAAAGATTTCCCTAGGCCTGCCATTGGGTCACTAGGAAATGGTACCTATATTAGTTACTTTTCTTCTTCATGTAACAAAATACAAACAAAAACAACTAAAGCAAGGCTGCATTTGGGCTCAGGATTTGATCAGCTATAGCCCATCCTGGTGTGAAAGTTGTTGAGAGAGACGCTCTCAGCTGTGGTAGCAGGGACACAAGGTCATACGGTGTCCACAGTCAGAAAGCAGGGAAAACTGAATGCTAGTATTTCTCCCCTTTTTTTTCTATTTATTCTGTCCAGGACCCCAGCTCTTGCAATGGTGCCACCCACATTCCAAGCAGGTCTGTCCGAGTTAATTCTGTCTGGAGGTTCCCTCAAAAACACCAGTCAATTTGACAGTGACGTTTAGACATCACAGTACCCATCCTAGCTGGATTCCTTGCTGAATGGAGAAGGGGAGCCCCGAGTAGCCCACCCTGTCATCATAATTTACTTTCTACATCTTCAGCAAATTATACCTAAATAATTTGCAATGAATTTGACTTGCAGGGCAATTGACATGAGAAAGGGAGGAGAAAGAAATATATCGTGGTAATACTGCTATGTTTTTCCTAGGTTCTGTGTACAGGAGGTACCCTCAAGGGAAGCTTGCTAGGAGGATTAACTCTTCTGTTGAGCTGCCCAAGAAAGACACTGTTTGCTCAAGTCAAGAGGTATTAAGTTGTCCATATCAGCACATACCCCTTAGTATTCCTTCTACCAACCATGGCTTCTAGGAGGGTTAGGCATACCTGGAAAAGAGGGGGAAATCTGTTAAGCATGGCAGTTTACTGTCACACATGCAGTAATGCAATAAGCGTAGAGTCTGCTACCTCCTATCTGGGTAGTCTTGGGAAGTCACATAACTATACTCAGTCTCACTATGTAAAATGAAAACAAGCTGGGCCTAGTGGTGTACACCTTTAATCCCAACACTTAGGAGGCAAAGGCAGGGGGATCTCTGTGAGTTCAAGGCCAGCCTGGTCTTCATAGCAAGTTCCACGACAACCAGGACTAATAAAGAGACCCCTGTCTCAAAATAAAGAAAAAAAAAGAAAAGAAAGGAAGGAAGGAAGGAAGGAAGGAAGGAAGAAAGAAAGAAAGAAAGAAAGAAAGAAAGAAAGAAAGAAAGAGAAAAATAAGAAAGGAAGAAAGAAAAGAAAAAGCAAATCCCAAAATAAATAAATAAAATGAAGACAGTGCCTATCTCTTAAGATTGATATGAGGCATTAACAAGTGTATTTTGTCATAGTCCTTATTGATGTCAAATTCTTTGGGCTGTAATCAACAGAAATCCCCCTACTGGTTCATATCATCTTTCTCCACACAACCATTCAATGACAGTCTGACTTTGATTCTGGTTGGACTAACCCTGGATGTCATGATCAGATGGATTGAAGCCTACATCCTGACATCTTTCCATTGGATAAAGAGACAGGTTATCCTGATTGGTTTTAGAGTCTGAACTTTAGACCATTTAAATCTAACCATTATAGTAAAAGGTTATGGTGGGTGTTAACAGTATCTACCAGACAAGGCCAAGTATATGCTCAATGCATTTGGTTCCCTACTGTCCATCCTTGTGCATCTCTCTCCCAGAGCGGGGGAGAGAATCAGCAAACAATAAATGCTCATAGAAGGCCAGGAGCACATTTCAAACAAAAGCCTTTGACCTGTGCATGAGTCAACTTCTCGTGTAGGTCTGACTTACCTGGGTTACCTTTTTATTCTGAAGTGGATAGCCACCTGCGGGCTGAAGAAACTGAAGCTGGAGCTTTCCAAATGCCTTGGTCCCAACTGCAGACACCAAAAGTCAGCACAACGACAGATAGCGCCGGCCAAACACTGCACTCTCTTCCCCAGTGTAGAGATCAAAGTAAGTCACAATGTGGTGTTCCTCATTCCCCAACTCCTTGTTTTTTTGGTAAAAAATATGCTTGGGTTTAACGAAGGAGAGAGTCAGTTCCTTACCTTTTCTCAGCTGCTAATAGCAGTGAGAAGGTGAGGGGGCACTGCTATTCCTGCTTGTATAGAACTCCCCTCAGTTGGTAGAAAATACATAATTCTGATAGAAAAAAAGCCAAGCCTGCAGCGTCTGAGATCACACTCTGGAGTAGATGGTAAGACCTAGAATCAGATGCTAAGCACACAGGCAGTGGCTGAAGGACCTACTCCAAAGCACTTGGTACCTGTCTTATTTTTCTGTTGCTGTGATTAAAAAACCATGACCAAGGCAACCTATAGAGAAAAGAGTCTATTGGGGACTTACAGTTTCAGGGGGTTAGAGTCCATGACCATTGTGGTGGGAAGCATGGCAGCATACAGGGCAGATGTGGCAGTAGTGGAAAGGTTACATCTTCATCCACAAGCAGAGGCAGAGAGAGCTAACTGGGAATGGCATGGGCTTTTGAAACCTCAAAGCCCACCCCAAGGATACAACTTCTCCAACAAGGCCACACCTCCTAATCCTTCCCAAACAGTTCTCCCAACTGGGGGCCCAGTATTCAAACATATGACCCTCTGGCGGCCACTCTCACTCAAACCATCACAGTGTCCTATCACTGGCCATGGCTCTGGTGGGATGGCAGGAGAGAGCAGATTCCTTCTCTGCTTTCTATTTGAGAGGTGTTTTTCTTGTTATCCTGAGGTTGTAATAAGTGTGTTCAGTACTTTGCCTCTTTGCCCTTTGATACCATGTTATCAACATCAGAGGAAACTAAAAATAGCCTTTAAAATATCCACTTAGAGAATGTGGGGTCATTTTCACCTGCTGACCCCTCTCTGTCTGTGGTTATCTTTTCATTTGAAATGTATGAACTTCCTAGCCTTTGATTAAGGATTTTCTATTTTAAATCTCAGAGATGATATGGGTTTTACTATTCTGGTGATTCTGTTTGCCATGGCATCCTTATCCTATTTCCCACTCCTTCACAGAATCATGCAATCCAGTAATAAATTAAAGAAAAATAACTAGTCAATAAATAAAACATGATGCTCTATGTCTGCAATGCCAGGACTCAAGAGGCAGAAGAAGAAAGGTCAAGGCCAGGCAGGCCACAAAGTGAGACCCTGCTTCAAAATTAAGCATACAAACAAATATATGTTTAAAAACATGGGGAGAGTCGTTTGTTACAATGGTTATAAACTATTTTAGGGTTGTTGAGACATGAACCAGCACTGATGGATGGGGTATATTAGCCTCTGCTTGCCTTCCCCAGGGAGTGGTGAGACATATCCAGTGGACACTGTGGGAAATGGAGACATACATCACATGCATGGAGAAGGTGATGAGGTGCTATGTGCAGAGGCTGCAATGGCTGCTGTCAGGTAAGTCTTGACTTCAGCCAGAAAGGTGGAAGGAAACTGAGGGGAAGCGGTAAAGCTAACCCTAGAAATTCAGCGTCAGTCTTTCAGGGACAACTCCTCAAGAACTGCCAAGCCAGTGCGCTTATCCAAGCCAGTTTTCCTTTACTGAATAAGCAATCTCAGGGTCCAGAGGTCAGACAAGGTGCTAGGTGACAGAAGTGTGATGCAGGAACCAGAGGGAACTTCTGCCTGTCCAGGCTACCTACAAAGCTGACTCCTTCCTTTGCTTCCCTGTACATGACTGAGGACATCCCAGTTCTGACCATGGCTGGTGGGTGGTAGGAAATGGGAGTTAAGAGAGAAGCAAGGGCTGGGTATTAATGGGACCTACTTGAATGCATTTGTAAAAATAGAAATGGAAAAGGTTCTGACCCAGAAGGTATTTTCTCTACTTTTCCCCTGTGATACCAAGGTGCCTCCAAGAAAGGTGTATTAATGGGGCAGGATGAGGAGGACCAGGCTCATATTCCAGAGAATGGCTGACTATAATTACAAGTGTGGTGGTCTTTACCTGTAGTCCCCGCACTTGTGAGGTAGAGGCCAGAAGACTAGGAGTCCAGATCTAGCCTTGGTTGAGCATCAAGGCCAAGAGGCCAGACATCTTGAAGTAAACAGAAAATGAAATAGATAGGAAACAGTTTAGTTTTAGGGTCTAGAGAGTTTTGTATAACAGGAAGAGAAAGCCTTATGGCCCTTCCAGGCAGCCTGTGTCCCATGCAGGGTCCTGTGTGAGTTCATTTGGTTGAGTCTTCTGCAGGAAAGCCTGCTATAAATAGCCTGTGTCTTAGCAAGTGGCCATGACTACTGGTTTCCAAAGCCTGTCTCCCAAGCTTCTGTCGGTCATGGGTTAGTGTGGGGCAAAGGGGAAGTAGAATTCCCTGTTCTAAACTCATACCAACCACTTGGAAGAGCTGATGACTGAGTGCCATCATTTGTAGCCAGTGTCTCATGCCTCACATACAGGTCCACACCCAAATACCTGTATGTACTTCAAATTTACCTGAGAGCCAGGGATGTAGCTTAATGGCAGAGTGCTTGCCTAGCATGTACAAAACCACACATTTGTTCCCCAGTACTCACACACACAAACTACTGCATTCATTTGTTCACTCATTCATTCAATGAAGAAGTGTTTAATTCCTGCCAGGTGTATGGGAGAGGGTAGAAGGCAAGTCCCAACAGGATCCCTGAGCTCATGGATCATGTGGTCTAGGAGAGAGATGCTTACCAAAGAGTCCCAAGTGTCGAATGGCAACACTGCCAGGTGCAGGGAAAGTGGGGGCAGGGCACGATACTGTGAGGGGCAGTTGTCTTGGGTAGGAAGTGTCATCTCAGAGAAAGTCTCCCTGAAGTGATGTTTAAACATTGTATAGATGTTAAGTGGACAAAGAAGAAAGACAGCCTGGGGCAGAGGCTTTGAGTGGAAAGGACAACTCTGAGTTCAAAGACTGAGACAAAGGTAACAGTGTGGAAAGTGGGAGCCAAGCAAAGCGCATTCAAGAGAGAGAGAGAGACAGAGATGCAGCCAGGGCACAGTGGTTTCTAAATGCAATGGGAAGCCATTAGCAGATTTTCCATAAGCAGAAAATGATCAGTCAGCTTTTACAATAGTCCCCCCTGGCTATTCCGTGAATGATAAACTCTTGGTGGACAGAGTAGAACAAAGGTTACCTGATCCTACCCTTTTGGGAGATGAAGAGAGCTGAACTTGTAGAAGGCTATGTAGAAAGATGAAGTGGGCAGAGTATGAGAGATTTGGGAGGTGAAAATGGGCAGGGCATGGTGCTCACACTATGTTCCTGCTATCCGGTTCTAAATGGGATGTTTGTAGGTCCTTGGATGGCTGACCAGCTTGGCTTGCTCGTCTCATAGAACACCCTGACAGATTTAGGCTAGCTTACCTCATATTCTCCCTGTGACGGTATTGCTTTAGGACACCCAGATGAATCCTGGGAGACCCTGGGCAACAAGGTCCAACAAACTTGGTCCACTTATCATGGAGAGTGGCTAGTTGATATTCCAGCCATTTGTCAGTTTCCTTCTGCTGTCCCAGTCAGCATCAGTATTCATGGCACTGGTCACATCAAATATTTGCTGAACTTCCCCACTGTCATATCTGTTTAGCCTTGTACAATCAAAAGACCAAAGTTAGAGGATGCCTGACTGAAGTGTATGGATTAGGGGACCAAGACAGAATCTAGGCTCTCAGCTATAGATCCTGAACAAATTGTTAGCCCTCTGGAGGGCCCCTTGAGTTCCCCAGGCCTTGAACAACTTTTTTCCTTATGTCTCACTAGTTCCCCATGGGTACCTCCATCCAGTCTCTCAACCTGGCTTTCTCTCCAGCCCCCAGAGCTGAAGTCTTGATCTCCCAAACCTCATACAGCTAGCTCTACCCTTGGACAGCTGACTCCCCCAACACTACCACAGGGCATCTCCCAGTGGAGAACTCATGACCAATTATTAGGGAGGCAGCCTCAAGACTTTGTATTTTATAGATACCATGAGGAAAACTAATGTCTCACCCCTTTCCTGCCTCTGTCACCCATCTTGGAACAGGGAGCCGCAGACTGTTTGGCACCATCTTGGAAAGCAATGTATGCATCATGCTGGACACATCGGGATCCATGAGCCCCTACTTGCAGTGGATGAAGACAGAGATGGTTCTGCTGATTTGGGAGCAGCTGAGGAAGAATTGTGGCAGGTAAATGCAAGGGTTGAATGGGTAGTGTTCTGCTGATTTGGGAGCAGCTGAGGAAGAATTGTGGCAGGTAAATGCAGGGCTGGGATGGGTAGCGTCAGGAAGATGAAAGGGCTGGTTCCTGGTTTCCCAGGCTGAGCACACTTGCTCCTTACAGTTCCCAGGAGTAGAGGTTTTCAGAAATAAGAAATGCTCTTTTGAATCGTTTGAGAAGGAAAGAACGCTGCTGTATTTTTACCACTGCAGCATTTTAATCTACTTACATTTGCATCTAGCATTTTCAGGGGGTTCCCTCTCCCTTCTCAGTGTCTGGACTCACTGTAGAGACCTCAAGTGAACAATCCTCACAGAGGTGACTTCCACATCAGCACAAACTGGTCTGTTCCAACAATCATTTTTCCTCTCCCTGTCCCCTTCTCTTTCTTCCTCCCCAGTTTTAACCTGATCAGCTTTGCAAAGGACCTGAAGCCATGGCAGAACACTCTGGTGGAAACCACAGATGAAGTGTGTCATGAGGCTATGAGATGGGTGGCCCACTTGCAAGCCCACGGGAACACCTCATTCTTATCAGCTTTACTGGCAAGTGCTGCCACTGAACCCAACCCTGTAACCCAACCCTGTAGCTCAACAGAAATAGTGCCACCCCATACCAGTAGCCCCGGATGCTTTGGGACTAGCAGCATTTCACTTCATTTCATTCTCCTCATAGCCGGGTGATACAGGGTTCTCTCCTTTTTTATTTTTTTAAAGATTTTCTGCCTACATGCCAGCAGAGGGCACCAGATCCCATTCAAAGTGGTTGTGAGCCACCATATGGTTGCTGGGAATTGAACTCCGGACCTCTGGAAGAATAGTCAGTGCTCTTAATCTCTGAGCCATCTCTCCAGCCCCAGGGTTCTCACTTTTAGAGGAAGACAGAGGCTTAGGGCAGTTGGTTGGCTTGTCTGGGACTAACAAGATAAGAAGTGGTCTATGCCCCACTCCTGACCCTCAGCAGCTCCCTTGCTCTATCTTAGGCTGGAAATGGAATTTCAATCTTTTTTTTTTTTTCAAGACAGGGTTTCTCTGTGAAACAATCCTGGCTGTCCTGGCACAGCCAGGCTGTTTGTAGACCAGGCTGACCTCAAACTCACAGAGATCCACTTGCCTCTGCCTCCTGAGTACTGGGATTAAAGGGGCATGTGCCACCACTGCCCCGTCCCAATCTTTTTTTAAATTTATTTTCAGTGTGTGTGTGTGTGTGTGTGTGTGTGTGTGTGTGTGTGTGTGGTATGATTTGGTATGGCATATGTGTGGAAGACAACTTCGTGGAGTTAGTTCTCTCCTTCCCACTTTACATGGGTTCCAGGAATCAAGTTCAGATTGCCAGGCTTTCACAGAAAGCAATTTACACAATGAGCTGTCTTGGTGGCCTAGAATCTCAATCTTAAAGGGCAGTTTTAGAATTGTATCAGACATGTTTTCCTTGGGGACATAGTCTCCTCCCTTCCCAAGTCTGACTACCCCCATATGCTCTCTTAGAAAGCCTTCAGCTTTCAGGATATACAAGGACTGTATCTCCTGACTGATGGGAAGCCAGACACAAGCTGCAACTTTATTCTCAATGCTGTCCAAAAGCTCCACAAGGAGAGAGACGTGAAGGTGCATACCATCTCCCTGAACAGCACAGACAGGTAAGCAACAGTAGCAAGCTGAACTTGCTTCTCCTGAGTTACAGGTCTGAAGGCCTGAGAGCCTCCACTAACCCAGGGCCTCTCTAGACACAGCAGTTAGGAATTATGCAGCTTTAATCAGTGGCCTGGACACCACAAAACAGAAGCCCTCTCCCCACCCCATACAGACCAAGCAACAAGCCGTTCTTATGTTACTCTGCACCCTTGAACTCATGCACCCCTTTCAGGAATCCTGTTACCTTCTCCCTACTGTCCTTCCTTTCTTAGTAAAACATTTATGAATATTTGGGGAAACTAGAAAAGAAAACATCATCAGAGCACTATTTTTAGTATTTTTATTTATTCTTTGAAAATTTCATCCATGTATATGTCAATGATGACACCTGTCCCCAACTCCAACCACCAACTTCCCTTAGACCACCCCCACAATAGCTCCCTCTCAATTTCATGACTTTTCTTCCTTTTTAAAAATTATTACTTATTTTATACATTTGAATATTCTGTCTACATATAGGTATGTATGCCACATGAGTGCCTGGTACCTTCAGAAGTCAGAAAAGGGGTTCATGGCCCCTGGAACTGGAGTTATAGATGGCTGTGAGCTACCATGTAGATCTTAGGACTCAAACCCAGGTCCTCTGCAATGGCAACAGGAGTTCTTAACCACTGAGCCATCTCTCCAGCCCCCACTTTCTTTTTCATTAATATAACAGACTGAGTCCAGTTTTGCTGCCTGTATGTACATGGACAACGGGCCATCTTCTTGGGCCTGGGCAACCTACCAATGTCCACACACCCAAAGAAAATTAGCTCTTCCTCCTGACTAGCCACCAACTCTCACTAGCCACTCAGCCAGGAGTAGGCCTTCTGGAACCCCTCCCCCTCCAGGCTGGCATTTTAGCTGGCTTGATCTTGATAGAACAATTTTATTATTACAGATGGTCATTTAGAAGAATGTGTTAGATAAGATGCAGCCCCTCCAAAGAATCCTTTATCATGGGGACTATGTCACATGTGGCATGTCACAGTGGCAGAGTACATACTTAGATGCATGAGGCCCTGAGATCAATCCCCAATAAAAAATAACCTTTATTAATCAAATTGATTACTTGGGGACATATTTTCTCTCTCTGACTGAACTGTGAACTCTATAAGGGCCATATGTGTGTCCCTGTAGGTCTATCACACAGTAATGTGTGTCCTGTCACACAGTAGATGCTAGTGGTAGATAGCTGAGAATGTAATTGATGGTATAAGCTGAGGCCCAATTACCAGGCTGCTTTCCCTTAAGCCCCACAAGGCTTAAGTTCCCCTGTGGGCCTGGGACTCTGCTGGCCTCTCCTGGCCTCTCCTGGCCTCTGTGAGTCCCTGAGCCTCTGTTCCTCCTCCAGAGCAGCCGTTGAGTTCCTGAGGAAGCTGGCTTACCTCAGCGGGGGACGTTACCACTGTCCTGTTAATGATGACACCCTCAGTGGGATTCATGGCTTGCTCACCAGAGGCTTCATCGAGGAAAGGGTGGGTCACCAGTCACAAATGTGAGTCTCCTGAAGAGGCTTCAAAAAGCCTCCACAAGTACTGGCTTCCTTCTTCCTGAGGTCTCTGCTTCTCTGGTAATACACACTGCTGATCAGGAAGGGCGGAGTCTCCCATGGCTGTCCCACTAAGTGAGCTCCCCTTGAAGGTGGAAACAGATTGGGAATGCTATGTTTAGGTCGGACCAGCCTCCACCTGTTGGGCATTTACAATGTGTAAAGAAATCACTTTACTTGGATGACCACTTTGGATCAGCCACTGTTACATCCTCATGCCTAGGTAGACAAACAGCTCAAGAAGTTGATGTGTGTGCCCCAAAGTCAGAAGAAGGGTGAAGCCGCACCCTGAGACAAGGTTCAGAACCACACTGTGCTTTAACTCCTGTGGACTCCACGTTCATTCTCTGAAACACGGACGTTCATTTCATCTAAGCAACATATATTGACATCATCGGTTAGCTACTACACAACAAACGCTGAGGAGCCGACCACACTGTGCTTTAACTCCTGTGGACTCCACGTTCATTCTCTGAAACATGGACGTTCATTTCATCTAAGCAACATATATTGACATCATCGGTTAGCAACTACACAACAAACGCTGAGGAGCCAAAGGTTCCAAGGAGCTCCTTCCCATTCAGCAGTGCTAAATAATAGTTTTCTGAGACAGTGTTTTGCTCTGTAGCCCCGGCTGGCCTTGAACTCTCAAACCTCCTGCCTCTCCTTCCCCAGTAGGTACAGAGATTACAGGTGTGTGCGACCAGGCCTGGCTTTAACTTTTGTCTCTGTTGTTCAGGAGTGCTGGAAGTTAAGCCCAAGGCCTAACTAAGCATTCTTCCGTTGGCCTACATCTCCAGATCCCCAGGCTTTGGTTGTTTGGGAAGGGCCTCACATAACCCAGGCTGGCTTCAAATTCACTATGTAATTGAGACCAGCCTTGAAACCCCCTGATCTTCCTGCTTCCCTCTCTCTAGTGCTGGGGTTATACATGTACAACCACCACATAGATCCGAATGGGGAACTGCTGCCCACACACTGCTGCCCTGCTGGTGGCAGCTTCCTCTCTGTCTTACAGACCTGGCTCACTGGGATGCTATGTTTAGAGCTGGGCTCTGGAGTTTCGGTAGTTAATGTCTTGGGAAATATTCCTGTGAAGCTCTGTTTTAGTAGAAGTGGAGAAAGGGTTGAAGGTATTTTACTGACTGACCAGCAGTTAGATAAGGCACATACCACTTCTGCCTCATGGATCCAGGGGAAGAGCCAAATTCATTGAAATTTGGATGCTACCTTGGTCTCTCCCCTCCTCCATCCCAACCCCACACACTGACTCTCAAGCATCAAATTTCAAACTATCCCATGTATAGACCATGGCCGCCTGCATAGGAGATGTGCGAGCTGCAGTCACAAGGATTCCTTGCCTCTGGTGAAAGGCTACATCTAATGTGCTCTAACCATCTTCTGGGATTTTTAGATTTTCAGGTCTCATCTAGTCGATTTAGTATATTGAACCTTATATTCATTTCCCCTTCCCCAGGATCCCAACTTGCCATCATTTGAGGGGGATGACTTAAAGATACTGGCCCAGGAGCTCAACAAGGCTAGAAGCTTCTTCAAGCAAGCCCAGGTCTTCAGGTATGCTTATCTAGCTGCCCCTTCCACCTGTTTAACATCCCAGATGCATACACCTTTAATCAGGAGATAAAGGCCGGTGAGTTCGTAGCCAACCTGACCTGCATAGCTCCTGGGTAACATAGTGAGACCTTGTCTCAAAGAAAACTCCACATATGGAAGAAAAACATAGCATCTGCCTTTCCCCACCCCGTCATCTCATTACCCACTCCCAGGGAACCATTTTTCTTTGCCTTCTGGCTTCTAGATCCCAGCTCACGAAGAAAAATAACATGGAACCAAAGGTCACTCTTGTCTAGAGACATGTTTTCAGGTAAGAAGAGGAGTGGATGCCATACCTGCTGAGTGCCCACCAAGGGCCAGACACATGCTGCTTTACACACAAATGTAACTGTGAGGAAGGATCAGGAATTGTGATTCCTCTAACCTAAAAAGATACTCCACAGAGACACCCACACACACACACACACACACACACTGAGCACACTGACCTAAAGAAAAAATTGACAGAGAAAGCTGTGGCCCCAGATTACCTGCAGGAAATAAAATGTTTAGCACTAGGACACTCGGAAGGCTGAAAGCAGGGAGGCTCTTTACCTTGTATATGGGGCCCCCCTGGCCTCCCTCACTCCCCTACAGTGTCCCTCCTCAACACACCGTACACTCTAGACCGAGTCACTAGCAAGTTTCTCTTGCCACCCTCTGCCTAGTGACTCCTGCTTATCTGTTAAAGCACAGCTCAGATGACATTGGCTCCACTCAGAAGATGTCCCTGGTACCCATCCAGAGCAAAGGACCTCCAGGCACATCTGGATGCTTCTGGCCTTCCTCTTCTGGCTTTCCTGACCAACTGTGCCTCTTGCAGCATTCAGCACTGCAGGCTGCGATGCCATGCTCAATGTCCTACCTTCTCCCCTGCCAAGAAGCTGCTGTCTGAACTATCCGTGAATCCCCAGATCCTGCCACACGGCAGTTGCCTGGTAAGCAGTGAACACCCCAGCTCTGGATAGCAGCCTGATGAGGCTGCTGCTCCTGCTTCCTTCCTATACTTCTTACCATCTGGATCCATGGGCCAAGGCAGACACTAGCAGCCTAGCTTGGAGGAAGACACAGCCAAGAACCAAGCCCCCATCACCTGCTAACTGGAGGTCCAGAGTAAATGCTCTGCTCTGGCCTCTGAAAAGCCGATGCATCCTTTGAACCCAGCTATACTATGTACACCTGAATGGGGGATCATATGTTAGATGATCTAGGATCATTTCCTAAAATTAGAAAAATTGCTTTTATTAATAGAGTCAAAATGACTTCAAATGCTTGAGTACTGGTAATGATGTGTGTGTGTAAATTCTGAGTGAAATAAAACTTTATTAAATGTTGGACAGTGTTGGCACATGACTTTAATCCCAGCACTCAGGAGGCAGAGGCAGGTGGATCCCTGAGCCTGGTCTACAGAGTGAATTCCTGAACAGCTAGAGCTGCACAGAGAAACCCTGTCTGGAAAAGCAAAAAACAAGACATCATTCAGGTTGTATAGAGGATTTAAGCTTGATATGAAAAAGATAAATATATTTCTTTTTTAAAATGAACAGCAACTCAAACAAACAACGGGAAATGCATATACAAAAATGCTTAACCTCTAGAGGTGTAATTCACTTGCCCAGCACGACCAAGGTTCTGAATTCAATCCTCAGTAACACAAAATCTTAACCTCTAGAGGTGTAATTCACTTGCCCAGCACGACCAAGGTTCTGAGTTCAATCCTCAGTAACACAAAATACACACACACACACACAAGTGTGAGGTCTGAGAATTAATCATCAGTAACACACACACACACACACACACACACACACACACACGTACGCACACACACCAGGCATAGTAGAACACACAGGTCATATTTCAGCACTTGAGAATTTGAGGCAGGAGAATCAGGAGTTCCAGGCCAGGCTGGACACTCGGAAGGCTGAAAGCAGGGAGGCTCTTTATCTTGTATATGGGGCCCCACTGGACAGGAACACCAGACAGAAACTTAACAAAGAAACAAAAGAACTAATAGACATTGTGGCACAATTGGACTTAACAGATATCTATAGAACATTCCACCCAAATACAAAACAATTTACCTTCTTCTCAGCGCCACATGGAACCTTCTCTAAAATCAACCACATACTTGGCAACATAGCAAACCTCAACAACTAGAAAACAATTGAAATAACCCCCTGTGTCTTATCAGAAAATCATGCATTAAAATTAGAAATCAACAACAACATGAACTACAGAAAACCTACAAACTCATGGAAATTAAGTAACA